TCTTATTTTTCTTCTATATAAAAATCCTAATCATTGATTTTTATTGCATATAAAAATAAATTCTATTCAAATACAACATTGATGACAACTAATTTGTGTAAAAGCAAGTAAACAAAAAACATCAAAGTTCATCAGGTCAACTTAAAGCTGTGAAATAATCAACATCTTGTTTTGTTTAAACATTAATGAGTGCATTTTTAGTGAATAGAGATTGCTTCTCTATACAATCCGGTGTCTGAGAAATAAATTAGTGCACAGATTATAATCACACTGTCATCTATTTCTCACAAATTATTATTGATAATAATTCAAATATTCAATGATGCATCTTAGCAAACACAAACTTTCTCTCAGGGGGATATTTATTGGCTTAATGATCCAGAGAGAGCACTTAAGCGAGACCTCCTGCAGCCAGTATTTATAAAAACGTAATTAAGATATCAGACTCCTGGGGCAGAAAGTACAGGATCAGGAGTTTGTGTGTGTGGTATTAAATGACAAAGCCTCTCCTCAGGCTGTATATTAGTGGTTAATCTGCCCTAACAAGATAGACTGGGACGTGCTTCTGCAGAGCATCACTGATGATGGGACCAGTAATGATGGAGGAGAGCGCCATGCTGGCAGCTAAGCCCAAAGTAAGCTACTTTGGCTCGAGGCGACACACGGTTGGTCGCACAGCCGCTGATGTGTGTGTCCAGTTATTAAATCAAATATGTGACACCAAGTAGCTTAAAGCACCAATGAGCCAATAAGGACACTTGGCTTTACTGCTCCGAGAATTTTCATGGCCACAACCTTTCATTTGAAAATTAAAGAAAAAAACAAGGTAAAACAAACCTGTTGAGGTGTGATTCTTTATAGCTAACGTTTTGTCTAACCTACTTTAAAAGAATCAAATTAAATAGATCTTCAACTGTAGATTTGATCTTTTTTAAAGGGGAACATTGAATTAGTAGCAACTTTCCACTTTTTCACCCTTTCATTGTCTTCATTTCGTGCTTGCTTGAAGCTATGCCCTTTGATGATTCCCATTTTCCACTGAAGCCCAGGCGTGGGTGCTGTGGTGCAGGACACGTCTCCATGCAGTTCTGGCTCCTAACTGGACTTCAAACAGAACCATATACTGCAGCATGAATCCATGTTCAGGATCAATACCCAGCTGGAAAATGAATCCTCTTCTTCAAATTCTACTGACTCAATGTGCCTCTAGTAAGCAGCAGCATCGCTGGAGTAGCACCTAACGTAGCTTCACTTCAAACAGCTGAACCTGGTTTGATCACAGCTTTCCTGGACTGTTGCAGCAACATAATCACAAGTTGCACTCTACTGGTTCTTACAGTAAAGTTAGAACTATTTACAGTTGCTATGATGTGGGTCATCTTGTATGCCGAGGCTGTAGTTTTACCGGAACCATTTTTAACTTGTGAGCTTTGAGTAAAACTACTTTAAGTTTGCAGAATTCTACAAAACATACTTTTGGGTTTATTTTTTTAATTACACAACTATTTTAGTGTAAGGCACATTTCACCAGCAGGATAATCATTCCGATTTCTTACCTGCTCCTTCTCTATTTTCTTAAATAGCAGGTTCACTGAGAAACCATTTGTACTTAATAATTTGAAAAAGGTCTGTCACTTTTGAGTTTTTCATGCAGGCTGAACATGAAAATAGTCTCCTACACCTATCTCCTGCATTAGCTTCTGATAGAAAATAGATGATGAAACTCTAGGATTAGAAAAGCCTGACGTTCATCTTGGCTTGTGAAGGGGAAGGCTGTTGCTGGTTTAGCGTCCAGGCAACAGCCATTAGAAGCTAGCAGTTCACTCTTCAGGCCACCTTACTACAGTACAACCCTGACTCAGCGTAGTGTTCTCTTGAGGATTGAAGGTATGGAACGGTCTTCCATTCTCATTTACAGAACTTACAAAAAGTCTAAGGCAGTAAAACCTGATGCTGTTGAAACTTTAAGATACTTTTAATGGTTTTTAAGTGTCTTAATGGTATTGGCCCGTCTTATCTCTCACAACTGCTTTTACCGTATGAACCCTCGCAGTCCCTGCGCTCCTCTGGCAGCCGTCTCCTTGTCATTCCTAAAGTCAGGACTCACACTCATGGTCGTTATTACGGCCCTCGCCTCTGTAATGGGCTGCCAGAGGATCTGAGGGCCGCAAAGAACGTTCATGTTTGTAAGAACAGGCTCAAGACCCACCTTTTTAGTTTAGCTTTTAACTGATTACTATTTATTGCATTGTTTGTTTTACTTATTTTAATTTCTGTTGTGTTACATATTTATGTTGTTTTATTTCTATAATCACATTTTATTGGATATTTTACTATCCGTATTAGCTCTTGTGATTTTACATTTTACACATTTTAATCCTTCCAGTGTTTCCTCTGTGGAGCCCTCTGCCTCGGGACCGATGGTCGGAGGCGGCGGCTGGGGTGCTCCTTGGGTAGCGCCCAGGTAGTGGTGGGGTTGCCACCCTCCCTCCCAGGGCGCCCTGGACTGGTGTCTTGGCTGCTGGCGTGGATTTGCTGCTGTCGAGGCAGATGGCTCCCTTGATGGCGCGTCTTTCATTACCTGTCCAATCTGAGCTCAGCCTAGTGTTTACTGTGATCTTTTAATGTGTTGTGTGTGTGTGTGTGTGTGTGTGTGGGGGGGGGGGGGGGTGAAACTGTCATAATTGGTTTAAGTTTGGGAAAGGGAGGGAATGTGGGTTATATGGGTCATTTTAATCTGTTAAGAACTTTGTGCTGCTTGCTTTGCATGAAAAGTGCTATATAAATAAAGTTTGATTGATTGAAAACATTCAATTTCCCATATTGGCTAACATTTTAAATGTGCGAGTTTTTTATGTTCATTTATCGAGACATGTAGTAAAGAGAGTAGGAAGGAAAGGAAATAATGCTGTATTATAAACTAACATGTTTTTTTTGTTCTCATTTTTAAATTATTAATTTTCTAAATTATCAGAAGTTGGTGCTTATTTGGAGTAAGCCCCAATATTTTTTCTGGCAATTATTTGTTATCATTTACTTGTATATTGTGTATTGTTTTTCATTGTGAAAATAAATCAAAATCAAATCATGCTAACCGTTAGCATTAGCAACTCCACCACAGCAGAACTCCTTCAGTGGTCGCATTGCTGTTATCCAATCAGAGGAGATTTGTCCAGATATCAGGAAATAAGACTCCAAATCCTGCAGCCTGGAGCTACTTTCTCCTCCAGCCAATTCCCCATCCTCAAACAGGCACACCACAGCTTTTTATCCCCCAGAGAAATACTCACAAGGCATCCATTCCTAATAGAGACCACAGCAAATGTATAGAAAATTAAAGCTAAGTTGACCTTTAGGGACATACCCGATCAGACAATCCTACCATGTGGTGTGCTAATAGCGCTCTGGTGCTCTCGGAAGCACGTTGGGACCACTCAGACCATAAATCAGGTGTTGGATTGTCTTGGTCAGATTTTCGAGGACAAATCAATGTGCTGCCCGCTGATTTAGCCAATTAGAAAGCAAGCTGACGGAAGCACACACCAAGCTCCTCTGTCTTGTTTGTTTGCGACAAAGTCACATTTTATCTCATGAGATTTCCCGTTTGACCAGGGAAGGTTTAAGTGTGAAATCAGTCCACGTGTAATTTTTGCCAAGTTGACACACAACACGCCATCACCAAAACTAGTGTAAGGAGTTAATTTACATGTTATTTAATAAGCCATAAGACATAGGATTCCATAGCAAATATGAAATCAACCTTATGGATCTGTAGGTACTGTTTAACCAGAAGATTGGAACTTTTTATTGCAGGGATTAGGTAACAGCTTCGTATTAATTCCGAGACAACAGAAGAGAGAGAGTCAAGTTTAAAGGTTTAAAGATTTATTACTAAACAAATTAAAACTAGACCAACTTTAACACTAAATGTATGGTGTAACTAAGGTGAATGAGATGGAGAATGGTGTGATGTGGAATGTTGCTCAGAACCAGCAAATCTGAAGAAACGATTAGTTCTGGTGGGAAGTCAAAGTGATGTCTTCACACTAAGCTTTGGTTAGGAGATTCATAAACACATTCGATGCCATCCCGTCGGCCTACATACCCTTTTTTTAAGTCCCCGTTAGATCAGGAATGTCGAGGTCCAGCTTGACCATCTCTGGAACCAAAGCCGGTAGGAAAAGCAGTGGTTGCCGACCAGACCAGTCTTGAGATACTTCCGGGTCACGACAGTTTTGTTGTTATCTAGCGAGACCCAAACCTGGGTCCTGATGGTTCAGCTTTTATTCTGAAAGGAACCGTTGCAGCAGTTGGAACAGCAACAGATTTTATCCAGCTTGTCGTTGGTTCTTTTGGCTGAAGAGGAAAGTTACGGATTGGCCACTCCGTCAACTTCTCTAGAACGCTTTGAACTGGCGTTAAAGATGACGTGGGCATAGTTTTATACTTCGGATGTTTTGGTTGAAAAGATGACAGATTTACCAAGCACCACCAAAACCACGCCTCCGTCAGATCTGGCAGATTCTGATTGGATCAGTAAAAGCAATGTGATATGTCTCTTAACGCTACGTGAGATCAGTCCTAGTGGAAACATTTAAATTCATATTACTTATTATATTCTATAGGATTATAATAAAGTAATTAATATTTTGATTTCACAGATTGGTCACATCTTATTATTGACTAACACTTTGTTTGATTAGCTTTATTAAAAATAGATTTCTTTGATTTATTAAAAGGAGAGTCAATTCTTCATTCTTCTCTTGAGCTGGAAAGAAGCAAATGTATGAGACCTTGAGGCCATATGTCATGCAGACTAGTTCTGTGTCAGAGGAGAGGGGGGAATGACTTTTGGTGGAAAACAGTCATTTCACTCCGTTACACTAGTGTTTCCGTGTTTTTTAGGAGCTACTTTCTCAAGAGCCAGCTATTTGTGAACCGGGTTTAAAAACTGTTAAAACAACGCAGCGTGATGGCGTATCTAAATGAAAATGACAACATTTATGGAGTTTACATGCTTTATTGATTCAGCCGAGTTTGTTTACAGGAAAAAAAATGTTCTGGAAAACAGCTGGAACATCTGTAAAGCGTAAAAAGGAGCTGCAGCTACTCACAAAAATAAGAAGGCCACTGACAGAACATACAGAATGGCACACAGCAGTAAACAAGGCCGTCGACAACACAGAACTGTTTACAGCCTGGAAAAATATGCATCAAATGAGCGTCTAATTGGGAACGTTCAACAAATTCTCTGGAACAAAATTATGTCTCCAATTCATTCAAAAAGCATTTGCTGACATTGTAAAACAGAAGCTAATGCAGTGGCAGGCCACTATTCCACCAGAAGACATTTGAAAGGTTTGTTCTAACACTGAAAGTAACTCATAACTACAATGGTGTTTCGGCGTCTAACGTTTGTTTTTGATTCAGAGTCCAGACATATTTCCCATTTAAATACCTGTAAGGATGTAATGTGGTTTTATTTTTTTCAGTTATTTTTGTGACTTGACTCCTTTCTCCTTCTCAAATTGGGCAATCTGGTTCAAAATATCCAACAGGTTAGAGGGCAGGCTTTTCTTAGCCCCTGCATCGTTCTGACCGTTTAGATTTCCGTCTGTCTCTGGTTTGGTTTTCGGACTCTCCTCCTCTGCTCTCCTCCCTCTACTCTCCTCCTCTTTTTCTGCCTCCTCGGGTTCCGGTCGTTTTTTATTCTCAACCCTAACACCGCTAAACGAGCTCCTGGTTGATGAATCGTGCCTCGTTCTCTTCTCAGGACATCTAGAAGTGAAACTAGGGTTTCCCGAATAGTCAGACTGGAAACTAGAAGTCCGAGAGAATTCCAATTCTGCCGAGGAGCTGGACAAATTTCGTGCTTTACTATCCTCTAAGCTGCTTCTCCTCTTGGAGTCGCTGTCCCTCCTGCCTTTTGGGATATTCTCATTCCTTCTTTCCCTGCTTTGATCCCAGCTCCTGCCTCTCTTCTCCTCCATCTGAGGACTTCTGCCTTGGCTGATTTTGCTTTTTCCTGTCCAGCTATCTTTCCTGTCCCTTTTCTTTCTTTCTCTGTGAGAAGAGTCTGATGCCTCCTCCTCTGAAGCTGCTGACAAGGAATACAGTCGACTGACCCTTCTGTCTTCACTGGCCCTCCCCACTGCCTCGTCTTCATCACCTCCAAACATAGGACCACCTTTCTGATTGAGGAAAGTGGCAGAGGTGTTGGGAGGTGCAGGGTACCACTCCACTTCATCCTCCTCCTTCTCCTTGGGGTTTTTCCCCCTCTTACCCGCTTTACTCCTCCTGTGTTTCCTCCCACTCTCAGACTTTCTTCGCTTTTTCTTTCTTTTCTTGGACCTCCTGCGAGAAGAGGATGACGAGGAGGATGAGCTGCTGGAAGAGGAGGAGGAGGGGGAGGAAGAAGAGGAAGAGGTAGATCGTTTACGTTTCCTCTTCATCCTAAAAATTAAAAAAATAAAGAAAAAATCCAGTGAAGATCTTTCAGTAGAAAAAGTGGTATTTGCTCGTGCTGGGTCCTGTTTACTTCATCCCACATACCTTTTCTCTTCTTTTAAGATCTTACGTAATTTCTCGGCACTCGTCGGGCCGCTCGTACCCTTGATCTGCTCCTTAGCGAGCGTTTCTTCGCGCAAACGGATCGATTTCTTTACGGTTGCCAAATAAATAAGGTATGACAGCAGCACGCAGGCAAAAAAATAAATAAAAGCCAGTAGGAAGATGACAAAACACATTCAAACCGTCATCATAAGAATTCAAGATACCCACAAAACAACATTCGTTCATTTATTTATTCAGTCATTTTATCAGAATCAGAAAGCAGGAGGATGAAAGGAAAGCAAACAGATCACAAAATGAAGGCGAAATGAGCAACGTGGAATATTTACCATCGTGGTTTTGTAGTTGGAGAGTGACGTCGTTGGTATAAATGCAGCAGGACGAATAGACGTGCAGAAAATTCAGACAGCATTTGTTCCCCATTGTGATCAAGAAGGTTTCAACGTTACCGTATTTGTAGCCGGGACACGGCGCACACCGGTGTCCGGAGGAGTCGTCGTCATTTGCACGGAGCAGTTTCAGTTTTTTTGTTTTTCATCCCCCCACAAGGCAGATGACAAGGCCGTGGCAGTCAGAAGGTCAAAGGCCAGAGTACAGGAGTTGCAGATACAAACACACACACCAGACACTTCATCAGTATTACAAACCACTGCGTCAGGCAGAAATGAACACTAGCAGTGTGAGAGTCTGACTCTAACCCTGTTTTCTAATTCTGTCGTCATTTCATTCAGGAACTAAATAAAGTCAAAGCACAGCCGTTTAGTTACGTTTAAAAAAGCTGCAACGGCTGACTTGGAAAACAAATAAGCCTAAAATATTTTTTCATGCCTTTTAACTACATTGTATAGCTATAAGTATTTTGTGGAGACTAAATAGTAAACGTGTCTAAAAACCTCCACCATTAACACATTTCGAACCGACAGCAAGTATCGGACCGTCCGATTGTCGGTCTCACCAAACCGCCGCACTTCCCTGGGTCCTCCTTTCATTACACACACATACTTATCAACAGAACACCACAGGAGTGAGAGGTTCTCCTCTCAATATAATCAGAGAAGGAGAAACAGCCAGCTGCTACCACTTCAACTTTAGGACAAACTATAGATTCAAATTCAGACAACTAGAGATGTTTGGACCTAGAAAACAGGGACTGGTGTTTAGCGTCATCTCATTTCCGCTGGAGATGCAGGTTTCTGGTTCCAGTGGACAGGGCCATAGCAAAGACACTCGAGGGGACGGGCGAGTGTTCCGTGACTGGGTTTGCATTCAAAACCTAGCTTGTTTGCAGATTCACTCTAACAGCTTTAACAAGGAAGTTCTTTAAAGTGGCAGGAAACTTGACAATTTTACACTGTTTAGTGAAAACCCAGGGTGGACACTAGAAATCTGAATAATAATAAACAACAACTGGGTTAACTGCTCTGTCAGGGTTGGATGGATCCCTTTAGAACGGAGTTCAGAAAGTTTTGATGTCATTTCTATGTCAGATTCAAATCTCGTTAACCTTAAAAAGACAAATAAAGGTGTCTAATATTTAAGTGACCTTGTGGTTAGTTCAGAAAAAGAAGAAGACGATTTGACTTCTACACAGAACTTCAAATTAAATCCGAATTTAGGTGAAACCGTAGCTAAACTTTGAGCTAAAACTTTGAGGTAGCTATTATCGTAGATTGGTTTAATATTTAAGTGTGAGGGATTTATCTCCTCACTAGTAGTTATGTCTCTTGTTTCTGTTTAATCCTGCCTTTCTGTGTGTGTTTTAGGTCAAAAAAAGCTTGGTAATCTATAAATTACTTTAAGTTAAGTTGATTTATTGGTGATCATCACTCCTTTCCTTCTGAGGTCATTTGTTTAAGTGTTGCCATGGAAGCGCGCCCATAGGCAGCCATGATCAGTTCCTGGTGTGCTTAAAGAGCAAGTCAACCCCTACCAGAGTATTACTCCACTCCCACTTCATGTTTGAAAAATGCAACACATGCTGTTGCCTGGCAGACCGAGAGGGCGGAGCCGCTAACAAATACACACACACAGGCTCACGACAGCATTGTGACATCATAATGTACCAGTTTACATCATGGCATACCTCTTAGCCAATAGCGGTGGCAGATTTAAATTCAAATACAGTGCAGAGTTTTTACCTGACAACGGCACAACACTGACAGTTTCAGGCAGAATATTTAAATTTTTACTAAGATGCACTGAAGAGCCAAATTACTGACGACACGTGTCTGCAGCACGATTAGACACTCGTTTATTTAGTTTATCAGCAAAAAAAAGTTTATTTGGGGGTGACTTGCTCTTTAATCAGCTCTACTGAGGGAGAAACTAACTGACTGAAAGGGGGGGGGGGGGTTATCTTGTGTTTGTTTAAGTGTAGTTGTTGTTGTTTTTGTTCTTTTGAGTTTCGGTAGGAGGTAAACATGTAAGTAGATTGTTTGAAATATTTTGTTGAGATGTACTTTATTGATTGTAAGATTTCAAGCTAATTGTTTCCCCCTGCCCATGTCATAATGGTTTAGCTTTAAAAGGGCCAGATGGATTTGGCACTGTTGTTGGTCGGTTGATTGCTTGTTAAGGGGAATCCATGCCCCAATGTCATGGATTGTGTGCATTCAAAAAAAAAAAAAAAGATAAAAAGTCAGAGCTCTGCAACATCCTGGACTCTTGCTTTTTCTTCTGTTGACAAACATCTGGTAACATCCTGAGTGAGTGACAGGGCAGAGGTTCTGTCTGAGCCAAAACCTTACAATAAGGCTAAACGCACACGGTTGTGAGGTGTGTGGGTTCTGTCCCGCTCACCTGTATGGTTTCAGTGATGTTGTGTAAGGCCTCTTTTGCCTCAGGATTCGACTCATCTAGAGTCCGAGCTCTCCGATACAATCCCTCTGCTGTTACTAGTTTCTCCTGTTCCTCGAGCCTAAACAAGCCAGAAAATACAACACAGTTTCAACAAATGCATCTATTATACACGTATACCATTCATAACTAATCTTTACAGATGAACCTTTCAAAACTAAAGTTGCTTTCATGCTACAAATGCTTTGGGGTCAGGCTGCAGAATTAAAATGAACTTTCAAAATAAAAGCATGGATTTGATAATAGAGGAGTGGCATTCTGCTTACTGTTTTCCTCGCTCCACGAGAGTCTGGCACAGGTATTTCTTTGCGTTGCGATGATCTGGACAAGTTTTCAGAGCCAGTTCAAAATCACTTATCGCCTTCATGATGCTACCTTTGTTTGCATAGCTAGAGGTAGAGAAACAACATTTTAAATTAATAAATAAAACACTCAAGTTGTGTTTTGTCAAAAATGCTTAAAAGTACATGATATAAGAATGACATCCTGTGGTCAAATTGGGTACTGCAGCCCATTTACTAACTACACATGTCACTCTAGCCCAGGGGTCACCAATTCTGGTCCTCGAGGGCTCCTGCACATGTTAGCTGTTTCTAACAGGCCTGTGCAGAGTTAAGGAGAGGATTAAATTACTCCATTCAGGTGTTGTAGAGCAGGAAACACAGAAAACTAGCAGGATGGAAGCCCTCGAGGACTGGACTGGAAGGCTGGTTGACTGCTGACGCTCCCTGGCGGTAAAGCGTTTCCTGTTTCCTGTTTTCAGTGTTGCACTACGTGTAGCTGTTTGGTGTTTGTGGCTCACTGAAACTGATTTTATTTCTCTGTACTAGGATATCTCTGAGTTATTGTAGCAGATAAGCATGCTAAAACACACATTTGCTGTTGTTCCACCTAGCTTTTAGGGAACCATTTGAGTTTGCACACAGTTTATTTGGTGTTGAACAGTTTGCTCGTCCAGTTAGCTTAGCCTCAGCACGGCTATGGCTACTTCTGTCTCTGCTTCTCTGTCTCCTATCTCTTGCTCTCTGTGTCAGATGTTTAGTTACTCCTCTGCCTCCTTTAGTGATAATGGGACGTGTAATAAATGTAGCATTTTTGTAGCTTTGGAGGCGAGGCTGTCGGAATTGGAGGCCCGGCTCTGCGCTGTTGAAAGGCCCGTAAACAACCGTAGCTACTTAGCTAGCGCGGGGCTGACTAGCTCAGAACCACCCCATAGCGGTCCTCCAAAAGAACCCGAGCAGCCGGGACCTCAGGCCGGCTGGGTGACGGTACGCAGGAAGCGTAGAACCCAACCCGTGGGCCACCACCAACCCGTCCATGTTTCTAACAGATTTTCCCCGCTCAGTGACGCACCCACTGACAAGCCGACTCTGATCATTGGCAGCTCCATAGTCAGAAACGTGGCATTAGACTCCAGCAACCATAGTTAAATGTTTACCTGGGGCCAGAGCGGGCGACATTAAATCTTACCTGAAACTGCTGGCTAAGGATAAGCGTAAATACAGTAAGATTGTTATTCACGCTGGCGGTAACGACACCCGGTTACGCCAATCGGAGGTCACTTAAATTAATGTTGCTTCGGTGTGTATGTTTGCCAAAACAATGTCGGACTCCGTAATTTACTCTGGCCCCCTGCCTGATCGGACCAGTGACGACATGTTTAGCCGCATGCTGTCCTTCAACCGCTGGTTGTCTAGGTGGTGTCCTGAAAACAACGTGGGCTACATTGATAATTGGAAAACTTTTTGGGGAAAACCTGGTCTGATGCGAAGAGACGGCATCCATCCCTCTTTGGATGGAGCAGCTCTTCTTTCTAGGAACATGGCCAGTTTTATTAGTCCTCCATGGCAACCCAGGGTCCAGACCAGGAAGCAGAGTCGTAGTTTAACCCACCCCTCTGCAGCTTCTGTACTGTTACCCACCCACTACCCCATAGAGACAGTGTCCTGCCCACGGCCAAAACCACACAGATTAAATATCAGGCTTAATAAAGCAAATCATGGAAATCTCACAAATATTAGAACAAATTCAACTGAGCAGAAAATTAGAAAAATTAAATGTGGGTTATTGAACATTAGGACACACCACGTTGGCAAATCAGCATAATACTGCCGCCACGGTGCATCTTATGAACTAGGGATGCACCGATCAGGTTTTTTGCTGCCGATCACCGATACCGATATCAAAGAATGCTGATCACCGATACCGATCACGTTCATTGGCCAGAAATTTTCTACAACATTATAATGAGTGCTACAAACTACATAATCTGGGAATAAAGGAAATGTAACCTAACCTAAAATGGTCTGTATGACCCCCAAATTCCACTACCTCCGCTCCGCTCCGGTCCGCCCCCGCCTTCCGCAGCCACTCGCTTCCGAACTCAATTTTTACTGGTACCCGCTCTACAACGGCTCCGCTCCGGTGCAGAGACCTGAGGTGCGCAAACAAGCATGCGCGGGATTTTCGAGATCTTGCGATACAGTCCGAGCAATAAACGCGGAAGTTAGATCCAAACACCCGTTGTGTGGGAGAAACATCGGCATGAACTGTTTAATCCGCCCATCATTTGTGTTGACAGATCAGCAGTGTTTGGATCAACAAAGTGTGACTACTTTGATAGTAGAAACTGTATTTATGGCTTACTTTTGTGCATTTAAACTTCAGCCGCCATTGATAGTTGTTAAAGGTTGTTAAACCTGTGAATATGAAACAAAAAACGCCTTTTGTTTATCGATTTATTGTGAAAAACGGAAATTGTGCTCGCTCCTTTTCCTGTTGGGCCGTTGTGATTTCTGTCCATTTACTGCGGAGGTGCTCCGGCGTCCGGCGAAAATAGGATCGATTCTATTTTTGCCGGACGCCAGAACAGAGGGCGCACTGCCGGAGCACGGCCGCAGTAGTGGAATTGCTCTGATTGACTACAACGGGACCGATTTTGCTCCGGCGTTCGTGTCGGAGCGGAGCGCAGCGGAGCGGAGGTAGTGGAATTTGGGGGTTAGGGTTGTCACGGTGTGAAAATTTAACCTCACGGTTATTGTGACCAAAATTACCACGGTTTTCGGTATTATCGCGGTATTTTTTTTAAACATGCTACATTTTCACACAATTAAATAAACCCTGTATGTCAGGAAATATTGTCCTCAGTTTGTGTCTAAATTTTGCCTAAAATGTGTTATTTTGTAATTAAGTTGTTTATTTGTTTACATTTCCCCCTTCAGTCTTTAAAATACCAATATTTGCCCATAACTTCTTATTTTATGTCTGTTTGATGTCATCATTTTAAAAATATTAGATCAGATGATACTCAGTACTCAAGTAGCCTTCTAATCAGATACTTTTTTACCCTTACTTGAGTAACAAACCCTATATCAGTAAAATGTTGTCCTCGGTTTGTGTCCTTCCAGTGAGCGTTGCAGATGTGGGAAAATGTCATCAGGCAGTAATCATTGTTAAATTCATAATTATTCTCGGAGAGAGACCAACTCTTATCTGCCCCTGGGAGCCCCGTAATGCATAGCCTCATTTCAACATGGCGGTGTCCGCTACACGGTTTATATGCAGGTAGCGGCGCTGCGGCTGCTTTATATAGCCACTCGTTGCATTCTCCCTCAACCCAAATCCTCGGATCACACATTTTAGCTAAAACGCTAACGTTAGCTTGCCTTGCGTTGACTGTAGAGTTGTGGGTGATGGTCACGCAGATGTGTCATGAGATTTGAAGCGTTGCTGCCTTTCACAGACACTTTTTCTGCTCATGCTGCAAACAGGATAGCCGTCCGTCTTCCATAAACTCCCTCGGCATTCTTCAAATATCTAAAAGATGCCTGTACTTCCGACTTTGTCTTCTTTGAGGGATAATAAATGTCCTCCTGAGCGCTGCCGTCTCCTCCTTTGACCATTATTTCAGCTTTAGCTTCAAGAAAGTTTTGTTGTAAACAAAGCGTGCATGTGCCGCCGGCAACTTCAGCCGATGATACGGTGGCTGGTAAGGGTCACCGCGCCTACACCGCAGCCACGGTAAACCCACCAAGATAATATAGTTTTTTTAAAAACAAGACGGTTATTATTGTCAACTTTTTTTCTTTTCTTTTTTTTACCGGGGTTTAGCGCTACACTGGTTACCGTGACAACCCTACCTGATCGGTTTGCTTTGATCTATTTTGAAAATTCCGATCAAAACCGATAGGGGCGCTATCGGCCGATTACGATCAAATGCCGATCCATCGGTGCATCCCTATTATGAACGTGCCGTGGCGGCATGGTGATGCAGGACTATTGTGGTATTTGTGACGCCATGCTTGGTAGTAATATTGTTGCAACACTGAACTTGTGAATGCATATTACGCCTTCTCGCAACAAAGGCAGGTGTCGTGATATGTCGCGTGTGGAATTACTGTAAAACTTGGGCAGGAAACTATATTGAAGATGAAGATTAACACAGGCAGTAAGTTTTGCCTTTTGAAAAGAATCAGCTGAGATGATTAAGTGAAGCAAAGCAGAGCTCCAGGAGCTTCTCTCTGTTGGATCTGGAGATCGGATCACCTGACTGTTCACGGGGACTGTGGAGGACAGATTCCTTTAGATGTTTGTCAGAAAAACTCAACGAGCATGGTTCTGATTGCAATAGAAGGCAAATTATGTCCAAGATAAGGGTTGTATCAACTAGTCGACTAGTTGACTTCACTGCTCTGTAGTGACTTCTTACGCCTTTCATAGACTAGTCGCTGTCACGTGATAATGACTGTAGCGTCACGAAAGGCCTCTAATTTGTGACAAAGGTCACATGTTCCCAGCTGGGTCAAGCTGGGTCGAACTGTAACTTTGCCCCACAGATTAACCCGCCAGTGCTTCATAAGCACTGTTATGGAATATCGCAGGTTTCCCTAATATCGTGCAGCCCTAATTTGTTCTGTTCCATTAATGAGATTAGATCACATTTGATGCCTAATTTTAAAAATGATTTGTCGATTAATTTGAAAATACTTTTTGGCTAAGCCAAAAATAAGGACTCGTTTAAAAATTAAAGATGTATTTGAAACGGGGTCGTATGTGAAGACAAACCTGCCAAGAAACCAAAGATCTTTGATGATTCAGCTGTGAACTCGTAGAAGAAGAAGAAGAAGAAGAAGAAGGAGAAGAAGAAAATATCTTTTCTATAGCGCCTCTCAAGATAAAAATCATCCTCCCCCTAGCGGCTAGGGGCTAGAAAAATGACACTATCTTTCCCTGTCACACCCCTGGAGATTGACCCATCCTTGTTGAACACATCCCCAGGAGTAAATCAAGCTGACCTTGAAATGGAAATGGCCGATATTGCTGACAAAGATTTGTGGATGTCAAAATTCAAAAGTCTGGCAGCCGCACTTGAAGACGTCACTCGTCAGAAAGCACATGCTGCCCAAAACCACAAACGGAGCGAAATTGAACGCCTCCCAACACCTGAGAAACTTGTGTTTGACACATGGGACGCTCTTCCTGACAGTTATAGGTGCATGAAGAATTATGCATTTGGCGTCTTATCCATCTTTGGTTAAAAAAAGATGTGTTGCCTACATATAAGGCTTTGAATTTCTTGCGGCTCTAGACAGATTTGTTTTTTGGTCCAATATGGCTCTTTGAACATTTTGGGTTGCTGACCCCTTCCCTAGCCATAGAGACCAGTAGGTCCACTCAAACTCCTGAAGAGGACAGACTTTGTAGGCTGGGCCATTTAGGAGAAGTTGAAAATGAAATTCATTTTGTGTTATATTGTCCAAGATATGATGATTTTAGAAATGTATTATTGGGTGATCTATTTGTCCAAAAGCCTGAAATGTTTTAGGTCAACGATGACGACAAGATGAAGTGGTTATTTAATTTTAATGTGTATAAAATGGCTACTTTTGTTTGTCAAAGCTGCTTGAGGCATCAGACCTGCCTATTTAGATAAGTATTAGTTTGGTGTATTTATTATTTTGTCATTTGTTTAATGTTGATGGTATGGGTGTCTTATAAGCCCACTGGGGCAAGACATACTATGGTACGTAAGACTAAATAATAATAAATCTATTCATTCATTCTATTCATATTTAAAACAAAAAAAATGTGATGTTTTCAAACGGAGACTAACTCACAGAGCTCCCCGTGCCACCAGCGCTTCCACATTATTTGGGTCAATGTCCAAAGCTTTGTTGTATTCGTTCATGGCATCTACGTGGCGGCCATGTTTAAAGTGGTCCACTCCAGCCCGGACGCTGGCAGAAGGAGTTAAACAAAGTTAAAGCAGAAGGAGGCGTGAAACAGATGGGCTGTAAACATCATTTGCATGTTCACTACTTTCACCATTAGCTATGACTAAGTTAATAGTTTAACGTTACCACTTCAAGGCCCAGGATGCTGACTGCTTCTTCCGGATTTCCGAAGCAAAATCATCTTCTTGGAAAAGTTTACTGTAAAAAAAAAAAAAAACAAAAGAGAGAAACTCCTAAATAATAACTCTCCAAGGATTATTGTTTAAAACCAATAAAACCAATAAACTGAAAATAGTCTTTCAGCAGTTTGAGTTCATCACATTTGGTTTATTTTCATTAAAGAAACTGATTTAAAGACTTTCTTTGAGCCCTTGTCCACTCACCACTGCTTTGTATTCTATGTACATGTTTTAAAGACCAAGTTCACTTGTTTTTTATACACAATAGCAGTGGTATCTAGTACAAATGAATGCCTTGTGAGTCATTCACTGTGGGGAAAAAGCTCTGGTGCTCCTGTTTGTGCAACTACAAGTTAGCCAGAGGAGTAGGGAGCGGAGCACGGCAGGATTTGGAGTCTTATTTCCTGATATTTGGGAATCTCACTTCTGATTGGCTAATGGCAACACGACTCTACCACTGACTGTTTTCTTTGCAACGTTGACGTTTTATCTCCATAAATAACACAAGCCGGGAGGAGTTCCACCATGTGGTGGAGTTGCTAATGCTAACAGTTAGCTTCTACTAGCCGAGATGGGCTCTGCTCTCTCCTGGACGCTAAACCAACGATAGCCATCGTCCGTGAATGCTAATGTCCAATGTGACGGGGATCTGACTGGTTTTTCTAATCCAAGCATTTCCCCAACTATTTTCCATCAGTGGATTATGCAAGAAATAAGGGTAGAAGGCTATATTCACGTGAAACTCAGAGTGGCCAATCAGATTTCCAAAACAACAAGTAATAATCGGTTTCTCAGTGAACTTGCACTTTAAAGTAGCATTGAGTAATATATAAAAACTCTGTGCCCAGTTCCCACACTTACCACTGTAGACCTCGCATCATTGACGGAGGACGCGTGTCACTGATTCCCACCTTCTCCAGCAGGTATTCGACAACAGAAGGATTTTGGTAACCATGGCACCTACTGAGTATTCGTTCGTATGTCTCATTGAAGTCAGCAGCTGCAGAAAGGCTGCGACTGAGGAAAGAATACAAAAAACCAACTGTAAAACCCCATAAAGTTATACAATTTAAAGAAAACTTTTAACCGGTTTTACCAACTTATTTGTTCAGATGTTCTTTAAACACCTAAATAATTAAACAATTTCAGACCAAACTTTCTAACAACTTCTTTAAAGATCACAAAAGCACTAAAATGTGACGACCACATTTTTACTTGAGGATCAAATTTGAATTTCATTCAACTGAACCATGCACTGTTCAGTATACCAGTGTGTTGTTATTACCTGTAATGAATGGGCAGCTCTTCTCGAGTTATGACACCCAGTTTGATGTCCTTTAAGCTGGGAGAAAGACAGGCCTGCTGGAGGGACACTGTGATCTTTTCCTGGTACCGGTCAATGTCCTTCACTCCACCTGGAGTTTAAAAAAGCACATCCATCACAAATCACACACCTGCTGCTTCAGTTTTATCATATTTGGTGGTTTACTGAAGTTTAATGTAACACAATAATGTAAATCCACTGTTCTGGTTATCACAGCTACAGTTGGTGCTAGTAGAACATGTAGACAACATCAAATTCCTGGGCATCCACATCAGCTCAGATCTAACCTGGTCACTGAACATTTCTTTTTTGGTAAAGAAGGCCCAGCAAAGACTCTTCTTCCTTAGGAAACTGAAGGGAGCTGGTCTCTCCCCCCAACTGAACTTCTACAAAGCCATGGTTGAGAGCATCCTATCACTCAGTATGATGGTGTGGTATGGGAGCTGTACCGTCCAGAACAAAAAAGACCTGGCCAGGGTGGTGAAAACTGCTCAGTGGACAGTGGGGAGCCCACTACCAGATCTGGGCGCAGTATATACCATCCGACTACACAGGAAGGCTAACCGTATTTCTGCTGATCCCTTCCATCCAGGTCACAAACTGTTTATGCCGCCACCATCCAGGAAACGGTACAGGAATATCAAGGCCACAACCACCAGGCTGAGGAACAACTTCTGTGGCCCTGCAGATACCTACACTCCCAACCAATGACCCATGAGACTATTAAGCTTGGTTTATGCTTGACGCGTCCGCAAGGTCCGCACGGCTCCGCGCGGCAAAATTGCGTCATTTTAACAACCACGCCCCTCCACCGCGCCTCCGCACGGCCCAAGGTTTCCACACCGCGCACCTAGGAAATCTTCTAACCACGCGGACGGTCGGACGTGGAAAAACATGGCGGACTGGTAAGAACTAGTATGGCAGAGGTTTGTAAATACAGACATTTGTATGATTCAGCTCTCAGAGATCACCGTGATCAACATGTTAATAATTCTTGGAAATAGCTCGCACTGTCGAAAAAGACGAGGACGCTATTAAAAAACGCTGGAATGCCATGTTGTAAACAACAGTAACTTTTACTTCTACTATGGTGTAGTGTTGGATGCATGCTGTAGAGCTCCATGCTGCCCCCTACAGTTTGGGAGAATATTGGCTCACCGCAGAGACAAGCCGCATGAACCATAAACGCTGCGAGTTGTGAAGCGCGTTCCATCTGCGAGCCGCATCACCAAGCAGAAAGTAAATGTGTCAAGCATAAACCAATCCTTAGACTTTTAATGACGGGTTGGTTGTAATTCACAATGATCCTGTTTTTTCATGCTGTTATTGTCCTGTTCACACTTGAATCCTCTATGTGTAACAACAAGTAGTGCAATAATATCAATCAACATGTCGATCAGCACAACATTTATCTTTTAAATTCTTTAGCTTGTTTACTCATCCTACTAGCGTGTGTATGGCTCCCTAAAAGGATGGTTATGTTTTGTTCTATTTTTACTCTTCATGTTTTTATCCTTCTATTTGTGGTCTTAGTGCCCTCTAAGCTCAGAGCTACCAACCAAATATTGTTATGTGTATGCAATGCATAATGACAATAAAGAATTCAATTCAATACAATACATGTGATAATTAAATTTCTGATTTCTGGAAGAAAATAACTAACCTCTGATTAAGTCACCAATCTGAAAGTAATTCAGCGGATCATCATGGCTGCCAGTGGAGGGAATTTCCCTGATGTGACACAGAGCCTAAAGTGAAAAATATAAAGAAAATTAGCAGCAGAAGATAATGTGAAAGTTAAATAAGTGTACTGTACTCCCCAGCACAAATAGATGGCCGCTATGCGGCATGGTCGACAGCAGGGATCGGACCATTTTGCTCAATGGCAGGGAAGGATGGACTACATAGTTTTGACAAATTAAGGGACACATATGGTTTGGAAAACCTGGATTTTTTTTAGATCTCTCCAAGTCAGGTCTTATTTCAACAGTAACATAAAAAACACGGAAGAACAGAGGGACGGTCTAGTCTCCCTTATAAAAGAGGCAACATCAAAGTAAGATTAAAAACAAACTAATTACCAAACTTTATCAGAACCTACAGTCACTCAAAGACCAATCAACTACTTATATTAAAATTAAATGGTAAAGGGAAGCACAAGTCACCATATCAGATGAAAGTTGGGGAATTATATGTGAAACACAGAGGAAAACTACTAGTTCGGGTTACTGGAGGGAATTCACTGGGAAACATTTTTACCAGGTTCTTGATAACCCCTAAAATAAAATGCAAACAGAGAGGCCAACCGAGAGAAGGGCACTGCTGGAGACAATGTGAGGAAAACATGGCAGACCACTCCCATATTTTTTGAAAATGCCAGGAGGGAGATGGTCGACACAATCACAGTCGTGACGGTATGTAAGTTAGTTAAAGTCCCATTAGTTGTCACACACACAGGTGTGTGTGCGAAATTTGTTCTCCTCATTTGACCCATCCCCTGGGGGAGCGGTGAGCTGCACACACAGCTGCACTCAGGAACCATTTGGTGGTTTAACCCCCCAATCCAACCCTTAATGATGAGTGTCAAGCAGGGAGGCACTGGGTCCCATTTTTCAAAGTCTTTGGTATGACCCGACCAGGAATTGAACCCCTGATCTCCCAGTCTCAGGGCGGACACTCTACCCCTAGGCCACAGAGAAAGGTTAAGGATTTCTGTACTGTTTATTTGGGTGATATCCCATCAGTGGTCCCCACAAGAGACAAATATTTAATGAATATCATGCTGGCAGCAGGCAAAAAAGCGCTTACCAGGAAATGGCTAGAGAAGAATGCCCCAACAAGGAAAGACTGGTAGGGAATAGTCGAGGAAATATATAAGATGGAAAAACTGACAGCCTTTTTGAACCGTAAATTAGATCGTTTTCATTGGAATTGGGAGAAATGAGAGAGATTTACTAACAGCAATAACACGCAACGATGGAGGGCAGGTTGTAAAACTAAGGTTTAGCCTACTCCCATATGTTTACTGGAAGTGGAAGAGCCTGCTGCGGATACGAACGCTTCATAATGGACTGGAAACACCCCTTCAGAACATCATCAGAGGCGGAACATTAAAGGCTACATGGACCCCGACATACGGGCAAAACCTGAGGTCATGGGACTCGGAAGAGAAGGGAGGATGGCTCTCCCGGAACAGGACGGGCCCGACGGTTCCACTGTGCCAATAGTTGTTGTATGCTTTATGTACCTTAACAAAACTTTCAATGAAAAGAAAATATTTAAAAAAAAATAATAATAATAAGTGTACTGTAGGTTGTTGAACATATTTAACACAGGATTTATTTACGTCTGCCTGTTTACTTGCTGTGAAACAATCTAAGGAATGGGACATTTTATGTTGTTAACTGGTTGATGAAAAGCGAGATCATGTTAGCGTGCACCAGTCAGGTCACTCGGGTCTGCAGACCTTGGGAATTTGAAAATACCACGTGCAATTTCTAAATCCGATGAAGCTGCATTCAGCGTGTTGCACCAGCATTTTGGAACACCCTGGCTTTAGATCTTAGAGGAGCACCCACTCTTATTTTTAAAACTAGTTTAAAACCATTTTTATTCAAAGAATCATATAATTAAAGAACTCGGTAATGCGTCCTTTTACAGTCCCCTAATTACTTAGTACTTACATGGTATTTACATTGTAAGTTAAAGTGTATTATTGTTTCTGAGCTCTTAAACAGTTAACATGTAACTAACGTTCAGTTCTAGTTTTCATTTTTATTAATCATTCCCAGTAAATACTGCTTTACAAAATAATTACACTTTATTACAATTATACACTTCAATTACACAATAATACACTAACTTACTATGTAATTACCATGTAAGTACTTAGTAGTTTTATAAAGCAATTTTCGACAATCTTATGATTAAGAAGCTCCTTTACTGATTTTATTTAGTTTTAGTTAACTTACTGATTTTATTCTATTTATTACTATTATTATATGATAATTTGTATCATTTGGTTTTATGTTATTCGTATTATTTGTCTTAACTCATTCGCTGCCAGCTGTTTCCTGATCGCTAAAGCTGTTCGCTGCCAGCGTTTCTCACTGTTTTTACTATTTTTTTAAGAGTCACAGAACGTTGTGCTCTAGGATGATGTTGACACCAAAACAACCAAAACAAAGCGGAGACTCAGCTCTTACATCAGGAAGAATCCGTGCGTTTCGAGCGTTATCCGTTCTTTCATAATCCGTAGTCGAATTGTGATCGGCAGAAGCTTTTCCGGTTCGCGCCTCACTTTTTTTACAGCAGCGGCCCAACACGATCTCCTAACACATGGATGTTCTGCTTCCTGATCACGTGACGTGTGACGTACGTGGATGAAGATCGGCTTCAGAGCTGAGATGTTTGTTCTCACGGTGCGGGGGCTCGTTCCGATGCCCACACAGTAAAAAAAAAAAATGCAAATGACCACATTTGCCGTTATTGGTAGTGCATGAGTTAACTGCTTTTGCACCTGTAATGTGTCATTGTGTACCTACTGAGAATTTACACACACTTATAGCAGTGTGCATGCATTCAATGTATATTTACATTGGTGTTTACAGGTCTACAGCTTATTCGTGTGTAATGATCTCTTGTGAAGCGCATTGCACTTGCATGAAATGGGCTATATATATATAAGTTTTGGTTGATTTTTGATTGATCGAATGCTGCCAGACAACATTTCATATTTACAAACACAAAAATTCACACACTGCAAACGAGTTGGGCAAAATGTTTTGAATTTGAAAACAATGGTCGCTGCATTTTTGGTTCTTTTTTAAAACACAGATTTTCTCTTCACCTTGCTGATGTTTCGTTCGTGGCTGCAAACATCCTCAGAGCTGACGCTGATGGTGGCGTCACTTCCTACTCCGTTTATCCGCGGGCAGCAGAGGACGTTGTCGCCCTCTGCTGCCCACTCTCCCCTCACCGATGATGCAGTCCCATGCACGATCCAATGTGTAAACTCCATCGTCTCTGTTCATGGTCCCACATCCACGTCTCCTTATCTCTATAGCTTCTTTTATCCATCTTTTGTATTTCTGTTGTTCGGTGTTTATGATCCTTGTGCTGTCCCAGTCCATTACATGGTTTTCTCTTGTGCAGTGATCTGTTACGGCTGACCTCTTTATTGTACTTTCTGCTTCTTGTTTTGCTGCTCTTGTGTGTCTTCGACTTGTTTCTCTCTCGCTTTCCTTTCTATGTTCTATTGTTCGTGTGTTGAGTTGGCGTCCGGTTTCTCCTATGTATGTTTTATTGCAGAGTTTGCATGGGATTTCGTAAACGACTCCACATTTAAGTCCATCTGGTGTACTAGTCTGTTTCTAACTGTTGTTTATGGTTTTGTTGGTGTGTTGTGTTTTTTTCATTGTTGCTGTTATTTATTCTGTTATGCCTTTGATGTATGGTAGGGTTATCACTGGTATTGGTTCCTGTCTTTCTTGAGAGAGAGAGAGGACAGCAGAGGGCGACAACGTCCTCTGATAAACAGAGTAGGAAGTGACGCCACCATCAGCGTCAGCTCTGAGGAAGTTTGCAGCCGCGAACGAAACTGTCAGCAAGGTAAAAAGAAACCTTTTCTGTGTTTTAAAAAAGAACCAACAATGCAGTTAGAAAAGCAACACAGCACGAACGTACCAAAGATGTTTAAAGACAAAAAAACGGTCGCTGTTTTAAGAGGTCACTCAGGAATTCTAAGAAAATAAGTTCCTTCATTAATCACAGCTGACTGCCAGCCCATGTCGTCTCCATTTCAAGCGGACAGGCGGAGCCAGCAAAATTAGCTTTTGACCAGAATCTATCCAGCAAACAGTTTCTTTGACCTACCGACAACTCTAGGTTTTCTATGTCTCTCTTCAGGCCTCCTGCCATGCAAAGCAGAGTGAGAAAGAAGCCATATTCTCGAATGTTGTTAATCCGTCCCACCACAATGTCTCCTTTCTCCAAGTCCCTGTAAATCATGGATCTTCTCTCTTCATATGATAGCTCCATGAACACCTCCACGGGTGGCATGATTGCGTAAGGCTCTGCAACAACACACACGATCAAAACATGTCTGAAACATCAAGGCATTTTATCAGAAAAGCTCCACATTTATTTGATGATATTCTTTTAGTCCAGACTGAATCTCTTTGTAAATCACGTTGTACACCAGTGTGCAATGACAATAAAAATGATCTTCAATCAAAATATTTGTATTTTATTGTGATTTTTACAGAAAATTATTCTGAATATAAACTATTTAAATTATTACTCAGTTAATATTTATGAGTTTGTTAAAAAGAGAAGGAGGTGTTTTTAACTACCTTTAATAAGACAAAGAGGAAGCAAAGTTTTAAACTGGATCTAACTTCATAAAGGGTACACATATTGCGAGAGAGCCAACACACACCTCCAGCCTCTTCTTCCTCATGCTCCTGTTCTTGAGGTGTAGCTGTCCTCCATGATGGGCTGAACAGGATGTCAGCTTTCCTGGCAATAAACTGCTCCACGAGTGGGCTGTGCGGTTCATCACCCCTGCAGCACAAAAACAAAACACAACCAAAATCAAAGCAAATAAAATAATAAAGGTTCACTTCCAGGGAAACTAGATCGTTTCGGGCAGACCATATAAACTATTTTCACTACTGGCTTCACTGCACTGGTTTTCAGGGATGCAAAATAGCCGCGCTGAAATCCAAAACTTCAGGATGTACTTTAAATACTGACAAAGTTGGAAGTACAGTGGTAAAATGTAAATTATCTGGTATTATGAGTCTGTTTCGTTCTGGTCAAACTACTTGTGGCTTTGGAGCTTAACAGGCTGCTCAAATGTGTGACAATCATGTCAAAAAGCTAAGTATCTAATTGATAAAAAATAGTTTAATTTTATGAAATCTGCTAACTCTGCGTTGTTAGCATACCTGTCGTACGTGGCTTTGGACAGGTCAGGCAGCACCGCCTGGAAGTCTGGGTTTTCCGCTTGCTCACATTTCAGTTTGGTAAACAGAGACTCTCCGTGATGGATGAGAGTCTGCCTCAACAAGTCTCGGTCCATTTTCTGTCCTTAGTCACATTTTACATACCATAAACGATGCGTTTTGGTTTCACTAAAGACAGCGCGTTTAAAAACGTTATGATCGTAAACACGGGCAATGAATCGTTTAAAGGGTGGGAAATGAAATTTTCGAAACTCAACTACGCTGCTTTGAATGTTGCTCAAGCTAACAAAACAAAAATGCTAACTCTTCGGAATGTGTGCTTTATCTTGTTATCGTGCAAACAAATCAGAGTATATCAATAGTTACAAAGTACGTATATAAATACACAACACTATGTTAAACAAAGCGATATGTTGCATTTGGTTTAGCAGCACGAGTGAACTCAAATACTCAAATTTTATAGTTTAGCTTGAGATTGCTTCGAACGACTCGGGCGGTGTGTTACACTAAAGTTACCGGTAGAAACAAACTGCAGGTAGGAACCTTCGTGACCATGATCAGCACTAAATTATCGTGAATATGACACGAAATGCTGTGAGACCGGGTTGTTTATTAACAGTCGCAGCACGAAGTGAACACAACAGCTAGCCAGGACAAGCTCCAACTAAAAACTGATGATCTAGACAGCATATAGACAGCAGAGGGAGTGTGTGAACCAGTCAATGACCAGCCGAGGGCTGCTAGTCCCTAGCGTATCTAGTAGTAACGCCGGTAAAGGTGCTATTCCTCAGTAAGCAGCGCCAGCCTCTCAGTTACTGGCGCCAGCTTATCATTAATCAGATCAGTAGTTTGCTTCGGAATTTATATAGCCTCCTGCTGCTGGGCAGTAGTCTTAATTTTGGCCCCCATACCGCTCCATACTAGTACAGTGCACACAAACCAGATTAGAGAAGGACATGCACACACTCACACCTCATCTAAAGACACTTCCCACTCCAAGCTTGATCACTTGGTTTGCCTAAAAGACCTGCCATTTCTGCAACGAAGGGAGTTTAAAGTACACGGGGTCAAATTGGAGACAACACCGCAGACATCAGTTATCATCGGCTGTGTAAGCAGATAGATGAGGGGCTTCAGTCCAATCACACAGAGGGAGAGATCATCCAGGGTGTGCTTCGTATCATCAAACCAGGACAATTTAAGGACATGCTGGTCAGTAAAGATGACTCAAGTGTCCGAGAGCTGAAGAGTCTGCTGCGATCACACTTGAGTGAAAAGAGTGGACGTGACTTATTTCAGGAGTTCATGAGCACAAAGCAACATGAGCATGAGTCCCCCCAACAGTTTCTGTACAGACTGATTGGACTGAAACAAAAAGTCATGTTTGATTCAAGACAAGACAATATGGATATTGAATATGAGCCACGAACAATCCAAAATGTGTTCCTGGACACTATTCATCAAGGTCTTCTCCCAAAGTACAGCGACATTCAAATTGATCGCAAATCACTATTGTCTGACAATACTGTCTTAGATGAAGCACTAATAAGAAAAGTTATTAAAATGTAGAGTGAAGAGAGTGAGAGACAAAGCAGGCTGGGACATTCAACTTGCCAGAAGGTAACTCATGCCCACATGGTCCAACTTGACACTGAGAAGGACACGGGAAAAGATGACAGTAAAGTAAAGTGCTAAACCAAAGTCATAGATGAACTAAGTGATAAAGCGGAAACTCTAATGAAAGTGGTGGAGTCTCTCGCAGCCAGGCAGACATCTGAGCCCACTGGCCAGTGCATGTTGCATTCATGACGCTACAATGTGCTCAAAGCAAAGAGCCAGGAAAGCAATGAGTCAACCAGGTTGCCTTAACTGCATTGAAAGAGGAGTCAGCTCTTGTAACCGTTGCTTCATTTGTGGTGAGGCAGGTCACAGGTCAGTCGGATGTCTTTAGCGAGGACAAACAAAAAACAGTCGGCAGCTCTCTGGTACTGCACAGTCAGTTCCTGAACACAGACAACCATGCTCAAACTCATCAAACACACACACAGATGAACTCGCCCATGTTAAAAGTAACCATGTGACTGCACCACTGAGGAACAAAGACATTGAAACAGGAGATCGAATTGCTCAGTTGGTGGGAAAAAATGTAAGATCAAGTGTTACATCCACAGTTATGCAGTGGATTGTTTGCTCTACACCGGTGCCTGGGTGAGTCTTCTAGAATCTAGATCATCAATGGGTAAAAACATTTCTCCCTGACCACCAGCTTTGACCACTTTCTGAACTAGTCGGAGATAAAGCTCTGAGTGTGCTAGCTGTAAATGGTCAGTCGTTGTCTTATGATGGCTGGGTGGGGGTGAGCCTTCCCGAGAACAGTAATCCCAACTTAACAGTTCAGGTCCCATTCTTAGTGAGCAGGGTGCCCCTGGACTACCCACTACTTGGGTTCAATGTTATTGAACAGCTGATACAGGGCCCAGAAGAGAACAAAAACCTTACACCCACTACAGTTGGCCTCCTTCGCAGAGCAATGGATCTCCAGGATGACAAAGCCACGGCACTGGTAAATTTTATCGAGACCAGACTTTCTGTTGGAAACGAATATTGTCAAGGGTTGCTGAAAGTAGGACTGTAAAAGGTAGTAATCCCAGCTGGCCAGATCCGACAAATAAAATGCAAAATGCCCCCTTCGGTCAACCCATGCGACCGACTGGTTTTATTTGAACCAAATGAAAGCAACCCTACATTACAACAGCTAGATGTGCGGCAAAAACCCCATTTGTTCAAGTTCCCATTGCCAATCACAACAGACATGGTTTGACCCTGGTTCACAAAACAGCTCTGGGCACTGTTGAGCCAGTCCTAGGTGTCATCCAGACTGACATGACACAACACCAGGAACCAAAGGTGTCAGCAGGGGTACACTAGGACAGTGACAAGATGGTGGATCTGGGATGGGAGCCTCCAGCTGATGTAACACACCTGACAGAAGATCAGCAAAATATTGTAAAAAAGATGCTGAAAGAAGAATCGGGAGCCTTTGCACGAGATGAGAATGACATGAGATGTATTCCGAGTTTGGAGATGGCAATAACACTCAAAGATAGCACCCCAATCCAAAAATCATATACCTCTATCTCCAAACCCCTCTATAAATAGGTAAAGGAGTACATTGAGGACCATCTGGCTAGAGGATGGATTGTAAAGTTGCATTCTTCGTACACTGCCCCCGTGGTATGTGTCAGGAAGAAGGATGGATCCCTTCGACTTTGTATTGATTATCGCCTGCTTAATCAACGCACAGTCCCAGACCGTCACCCCTTGCCCAGAATACAGGACCTCATTGATACCTTGGGAGGGTATAGCTGGTTCTCCATACTTGATCAGGGGAAAGCTTACCACCAGGGGTTCATTGCTGAAGGATCTCGTCTTCTTACTGCATTCATCACCCCCTGGGGCCTTTATGAGTGGGTGCAAATCCCCTTTGGATTGACCAATGCCCCGGCCTCATTTCAGCGTGGCATGGAAGAGATGTTGTCACCTCTTCATGATGAGTGCTGCATCCCTTATTTAGATGACATTTTATGTTACGCTAAGACATTTGAGGATCATGTTGAAGGACTGACAAAAGTGCTAAGAGCCTTGCAGAGCCACGGAGTTAAGCTTCGTCCCACCAAGTGTGACTTGTTCAAGCAAGAGGTGCGATATGTAGGTCGCTTGGTCTCTGTAGAGGGAGTCCACACTGACCCAAAAGATCTTGAAGCGGTGTTTGCGCTTAAAAAGAAACACCTGCTACAGTTGGTGACGTGAGGAGAATAGTTGGTTTTTTGAGTTACTATCACTCCTTTATCCAAGATTTTTCAAGAATAGCCAAACCTATCTATGAGTGTCACGTGTGCAGGTGAGTGGAGCGGAGGTGAGGATCCAAATGCATGGGAAGCAGGCAGGCAGGCAGGCAAAATGACGAGAACATTGAAAGGGTTTTAATGAGACACGCAGGACAACGAAACAACACACAGAACTGAGAGGGTTTAAATACATGAGGGCTGGGAGCTCGGGTGATTGGAAAACGAGAGGCAGATGGGAGCAATTAACAGGGACACACGACTGAACAGAACGAGGAGACAGGACAGGGTGTGACAGTATCCCCCCCAAAGGGCAGATCCCAGATGCCCGAGCAGGGCGGGAGGAGGGGGACCGGGAAGGAGGGCCGAGAGGAACCGAGGGACCGGTGGAGAAGAGGCAGGGATCAGTAGAGTCCGGGAGCCGGCGTCTGGGGCAGAGGAGGAGGCGGCGACTGAGTCTGGGGGCCGGCATCTGGGGCAGAGGAGGAGGCAGCGACTGAGTCTGGGGGGCGGCGTCTGGGGCAGAGGAGGGCAGAACCGGCGGTAACTGGAGGCAGAGCCGCTGCAGGGGGAGTCCCGACAGGGAGAGGTAACTGGACTGGAGGCGCCGGACTAGGCGGAGCCTCTTGGACAGGCTGGGCCGGGGGCAGAGCCGCTTGGACAGGCTGGGCCAGGGGTGGAGGACCTGGCAATGACTGGGCCGGTGGTGGGGGCGGAGCCTCTTGGACAGGCTGGGCCGGGGGCAGAGAACCTGGCATTGACTGGGCCGGCAGCGCAGGACCCGGCGCTGACTGGACCGGCGGCGCAGGACCTGGCGCTGACTGGACCAGCGGCACAGGACCTGGCGCTGACTGGACTGGTGGCGCAGGACCTGGTGCTGACTGGACTGGTGGCGCGGCCGCTGCAGGTGGTGATGCTGGCTGGACCGGAGAGGGAGCCGCTGCAGGCGGGGCCACTAACTGAACTGAAAACGCCTCCTGGAGAACCAGGGAGGATAGGGTGTCCAGTTCGGACTCCTGGAGGCTGAGGATCTGATTAAGTCGGACCAGCTCAGCTTAGAGACCAGCGAACCCCGCTGGATGGACTGCCGGCTCGGCCCCCTGTTCTGGAGGCGAGGGATACATGCAAGTGTGTTTTTTTTCCTTGCATGACTTGATTATCTGGAAAGCAGAGTCTGGTTCTTGATGCCCTTTTATTCCATGAAAGAGGAAATTTGCAACATCAGCCTCCATTTCTTAAGTGTATGAGTATTGTATCCTGAAGCAGGAAAATCAGAACTTACAATTTCCTGTTTGTGGTTTATTTAGCAATGCAATTTCTTTGCTCTGATCTTATATTGACCTATTAAGATAACTAAAAAGACCAGATACAGAATGTTTTTTGAAAGTATTGGAATGTCGCAGGTAGAACAGAAAAGGTTGTGACCAGAAGTGTGAAACGTTTGTAAAAGTATAAAGCAAATATATTTTTATGAATCTGAACTTGGTTCTTTGAATATTTGACTTACTTTTGTTTTAGTATTATAAAAGCATCAATCCTCTTTTCTTTTCAGCTGTAGAAAATTTTGATTGCAGAAATTTTGTTTTTTTTTTTAATGTTGATTTTTAAAGAACATTTCGCTTATTTAAATGTAAAGAAAAAAGTATTTTATTTCACCTTTAAAGCAATACCTACTGGTATTGTATTTCAATTGAAAAGCATGATGAGTAAAGGGGACTACATACTTTACAAAACTATAAAACTGACTGGAATTAAAATCACCTTTTTTCTTGTATATATTCGCAGAGGTCACTAACAATCTGAGTGATGGGTGTCCAAGCTGTCATTATCCTAACCCCTACCTACATCACGAGAGGTTTATATTGTTTAGATTTCAGGCTACCTGCTTGTTAGTTTCATCATTTTCAGGTGTAAAAAAATGTTTCAAAATGTGACTTTTTAGGCTTTTTTCTGCTCTTAAATGTGGACAAATTATTGGAAACTTTATTCAACATTTAATTAAAACAATACAATATAAAAAAATCTGTTTAAAATATTTTTAGAGAACATAAAAACAACAAATATGTCAGTGAAAAACATTTCTTTTAAATGTCTAAACTTCTGAACAGGCTATTAGACTGGTTTTGTAAGTTGTCAAAATAACGTGCGACTGTGTTTTTATGGTGTGCTTATTATAAACAATCAAGTAATTTACAGGAGTACCTCCTTGATGATTTAAACACAAATATAACAAGTGAAACTAAAGGAAAAATGGCCGTTCCGTGTCAACAATAAGGTATTTTTACATTTTACATTCTAGCACATCTGGTCTTCAGTGTTTAAAAAAACCCAAATCTTGCAATCAGTCCCTTCTAATCATTTTCAAATATATTTACATTAATTCTAACGTGCACGTATTATAAAAATGCAAGAAATGATTTGAAGTCCACCAAACGAAGCTTTTCATTCATCTGTGTGCAAGTCCAGGGCTTTCCGCAAAGCTCTACTCAGCAGCACCAACAGGTCCAGAGTCTCCGCCACTCCCCTCGGCAGGAAGAGCTCCAGACAGCCCACTGGAGTGTAGGGCAGTTTCATGTCCGCTGCATTCATTTCCTGGAAAGTTATTTTTAAATGAGACAAAAATGACATTTACCTCCAGAAAAAAGCACCAGTGCCAGTTAATATGGAAAAAAGCCGCGGTGCGTGGCTGTGAAGGTTCTTTGGACTTTCAACGAGGTATAAGAATCAGTTTGTCCACCTGCAGGGCAGATGTTTTTGTAATATCCAGAAGCTGAAGAGGTCAAAGCAGAGCTTTGTTTTATATAATGTGCTGTTTTAAGGATGATCACTCAGATACTAACCTGCGAGTAAAAACACAGGGCGATCGGTTTGGGGAAGCCAAAAGAAGGCAGGTGATCAGCTCCAGTGATGAAGATGAGGAGGTCTTCAAAGGAAAAATCTGCCCGACCATCTGTTTTTGCACAAAGAGAAAACAGTTGAACCTGAATCTCTCCCTTTATTCCAACAGGACAGTTTGACCTTCCTCCAGGGCTTACCACCGACCACAGCGAGGACGTTTTCCCAGTGTGCAACCGTAGCCTCTTCCTCCGCTCTCAGCTCGGAGTCCGGACGGCTGTAGCGACAAGTGAAGAGCCGTTTGAACTCTTCCAGTTTCAGAGGTCGCTGCTCTTTGCTGCTCATTACTGGCAGAAACAACTCCCAGTGAGACCTAACCAGATCCCACAATCCACCACAGCTGTTCAGACCCTCGAGGAACTGGGAGATCATACTGGCCACCCTAAAGATGGAGAGCGTGTAACCAGCTGCAGCAGCAACGAAGAATCTGATCTAATGTAAGCTGACGTGCATCCCACCTGTGATAGATGCAGTGTTTGACCAGGCGGCTGTAGATGGTTGGTATCTCGTTAGAACGGGCTGAGTAAATGCCAGGGATCCCACAGCATGACACCCAGTCACAGAGACTGGGAGGCAGCTGCTTGGCATCAACACAGCTGTGCAGCTTTTAAAAGAGAGAGGATGCGCTTTAAAAGGATGTGAGAAAGGACAAGAAGTCTCAAATGGGCTGGAGAACTTTAGATTTTTACAGACAAAACTGTAACCAACATGTTTGAAGGACTTTGTGTTTATGCATTTGTGTTAAATCTACTAAAAGGAGCAAAAATGGCAGAACAAATGACAGATAAGTAGAGCATGATGGTTCCAGTTACTGAACGTGCATCACCTCTTGCAGTCGGATCTGCACTTCCACATCAACAATGTCCCTCCAGTTGAAGTTCTCCAGAGATGGACTTTGGCCACACATAAGCTGTGGCAATAAATATGAAGAAGACAATGGCAAAGAGAAAACTGTTTAATTGTAATTCTACACCCATGCAGAGTCATTGTGCCAATTAACAACGCATTTAGACACAGTGGATTTTTTCATGCAGTGGAAAATGTTTCTAGTTTCGGTTTTTCATCAAATTTATCAACAACGTTGCTATTTTGCAGCAGAGGGCGCAGCGGCATTTTGGTGGTTCAGAGAAAGAACTGTTAAGCGGCCAACCTGGTAGAGTGCAGGGTGCAGAAAACCAGGTCCAGGTCCTCCATGGGCCAGTGACCAGCCAATGAGAACGCCTGCTTCATAATACTTCCTGTCGTCAAGTGCTGTGAGGTCGTAGGTGAAAAGCCGACGTCCAGGATGACCCTCAAACACACAAGTCTGCTGCAGCTTCAGCAGCATCAACCTGCACGGGGATACATGGGTATTTAACTTCAGAAGTCAACAATAAACAGCCCATCATGTCATTTTCAGAAGGTATGATTTGGCTTTATTAATCCAAACCTGAAGAACTCTCTGAGCGCTTCCCCGGGGTCGTCCACCTCCTCGTTACTGAAGGAGATGATGGGCGTTGGTCTGAAGCTGAAGCCCGGCTTCCTCACCTCCTTCAGAGCACATCTGAGCACATCGTCCCGCCCCACCTCCATGTGAGTTTCTCCATCTGTGTTTTCTACTCTGAACAGTCTCAGGATGGTGTTCAGGTTGAGTGTAAGCTGCACACAAACCCACAGAAATCACAGCGGGTCCTCTTTGGTACCAACCTTAAAAACAGACGCTTCAGAGAATCGGATATTTAAATAAACTCACCTTTTCTGGGCTCCTGCTGACACGAGAAGACACGCATTTCTCCAGCTGACGTCCTTTCTCTTTACTGATATTTAAGCGAAGATCCCTTCAGAAAATGTGTTCAGGTGTTAATACCAAGTATACTTTCTTATATTTCATTACAAGAAAATGTTTCTTACCTTTTCACAACGGCTGCCTGACTTGGTGAAATTACAGATCCCCCCTGTTGACATTAAAGAGCAAGTCACCCACAAATCAACTTTTTTATTCCTGAAACTATATAAATGCGTGTCTAATCGTGCTGTAGACACATGTAGTCAATAGTTCGTGACTTTAGTGCATTTTAGTTAAAATTTTAATTTGCCTAAAACTGTCAGTGTTGTGCCTGGCGATGGGTACCGAATTCGATACTTTTTAAGGTACCGACCGAATTCCGTAGTACCGACTGAGCACCGATTCACGTCATTTGAAACGGTGCCTCGTTTCGGTACCCGTCCTTCTTAACGAGAACTTGCCTAGACAGCTGCGCATGCGCAAGAGCGTTATGTCATCGGTCGCTGCGAGCCAGTTGTAAACAGAGCAGCATGGTAGAAAGAACGCACGCTAAAGCTTGGGTCCACTTCACTAAATGTGATGGGTAACTGGGTGATGATGAAACCAGCGACAACGATCTAAGGCCCTGTCCACACGTAGCCGGGGATCTGCCAAAACGTAGATATTTTTTCTACGTTTTGGCCTGTCATCCACACGAAAACGGAGTTTTTTCACACGAAAACGGATCTTTTTAAAAACTCCGGCCAAAGTGAAGATCTGCGTTTTCTCCGTTTTGGGTGTCTGCGTGTGGACGGACAAAACCGGAGTTTTAAGGTCCGCAACGTCACTTTCCGCGACAAAAAATGATGACATCACATGTGCGACCTGTGTTTACACTAGCCGGCATCATGGAAGCCCGCAGATCTGCGCTCTGTCACTACCCGATCCATCAATTGTCCAAGCGCTTTCTGCTTGTTTGTTTTTGCAAGCGGAATTACTGCTCCTTGTGGAAGACCACAGAGGAAGGACGAGGTTAAGAACGGGGGAAGTACTGCCGCCTACAGGTCTGGCATGTCCTTAACGTATTTATCCGGGTACGTGTGGACAGAGTTTTTTTTTTAAACGCGGTGGTGTGGATGCGAGTTTTTGGAGGGGCGGATATTCGTTTTTAAAAAACCCCGGCTACGTGTGGACTAGGCCTAAGTAAGACATCCTCATCTTAATCTGCTCCGGTAGGTAAATAAAATGTTTAAGATAACATTAGCTTGATATGCTAGCTTCTGTTTCGCTAATGGTGTGTTCGCTTTCTCCTCGGAACTCAGAATTTCCGAATAGAAGAACATGAACGCGCTCTAAAGTTTGGCTTCACTTTACTAAATGCGACGGGTGATTGGGTGAAGATGAAACCAGTGACAACGATCCAAGCGTTTTAATCTGCTCCAGCAGTCAAATAAACTATTTAAGATAACGTTAGCTTGATATGTTAGCTTCCATTGCCACCATTGTTATCAGCTAATGGTGCGTTCTCTTTCTCCTCGGAAATTCTAGCTTCCCAGTAGGAAAAATCAAATGAAAAAGGACGGCAAAAGGAATGAAGATACACAGTAAATTTAGTTCACAGTAAAGATGTTTGCTTCAGTTTAATTATCAGCTTATAAAACTACAAGGACGATGTTAAAATACAAACAGTTGTATGTTATTTATCGTGATATTTATCAAATATGGGTATATATTGAGAAAAATGTATATTTTATTATAAAAGAGAATTAAAATATTAAACACTCAAAAGCATCTAAAATTGGTACCGTTAAGTACCGGTATCGATTCCTATATGGGAATTAGTACCGAATCGATTCAAATGTCAAAAGGTACCCATCCCTAGCTGTGCCGTTGTCAGGTAAAACAGGTAGCTATTGGCTAAGAGGTACCCTAGAACGTTAGCTGGTACCATATGATGTCACAATTTCGTTGTGAGCCTGTGAGTGTGTGTGTTTGTGTGTGTGTGTGTGTGTGTGTGTGTGTGTATTTGTTAGCGGCTCTGCCCTCTGTCTGCTACGCAATAGCATTTGTAGCATTTTTTTAAACAGGAAGTGGGAGTTGAGTAATAATCTGGTAGGGGGTGACTTGCTCTTTAAGGGTGTTTTAAAACATTAGAATGTGTTGATTTATGCAGACACATCGAAAACTAAATGCAAATGGAACCATGATCTCTGCTGCAAGAGTTGCTTGTGTGTATCACATTTGAGGACCTGGGGATTTTCTTGTTAAAAAGCCTAAAGAGGAGAAAAATATTCCAAACACAGAAAACAATCCTACAAATGAATGAATAATTATGATGAAATTGAAGAAAGACTGCAGCAGTAGAAAAGACAGCAAAGGGCAGGAAAAGCAGTTGATGGAAATGACTTTGAAACAACATTAAATGATGAGTTAACAGACTTAATTCAGATTATTAGGACTAACACACCTGCTGAGAGCTCCTGATAAACTAAAAAAAAAGCTCTAAGGTAAGTACCTGTTTGTGGTGGCTGAGGATATATAAAGGACCGTGTCCACAGATCCTGAGAACCTGTGCTCCAGTCCAGCCTTTTGCAGGAGTTTCTGGGACAAACAGCACTCTGGACCCCTGCACACACTGAAGCACCGTGGATACATCATCCGACTCTATTCAAATAGTTCAGAAGCTTTAATTAAAACATTGGGTTAGAAACTATACGTACCTGCAGATATGTAAAAGAAAAATTCTGTCCTGTTCTTTTTGCAAACTGTCCCTGGAACAGCGACGACAGCCGACTTTCCATCTGAGCAGCAGACCAGCCGTCGTCGATGGTGATGCGAGAAGTCAGTTCCACTCCAGCCCGTTTGGTTTGTGTAGAGATTTGTCTGGAGGAATACAGAGGAATGAAGATTTAAATGCAAATTCAAGTGAATAAACATGGCTGCCAGTAGTCATTTTCTAGATTCTCACATTAACTTGACCAAAAAGCTTAAAGTTTGGACGATATAAGAAGCACGGAGGTGCTCAGAAATATTTTAACACGGCATTTGGCTCAATTATTAAACTGGTTTTATGTGAACCAAGGAACTGCAAAAAATAGGAATCCTTTCCTGTGCTGAACAGGACTTTCAGGACAGGCATATTCAGATAATATGAAAGGAATTTAATCCCGAACAGCACTAATCATTTTGTACTGAAATATAGAAAAAGGCCATTCTAATCCATTGCAATTCCCTCCAATAAAACAAAGAATCCTCTAGATCAGGGGTCTGCAATCTGCAGCTCTGGAGCCACAAGTGGACCTTTGGATCTTCCATAATGGCTCCTAACAACTTAGGTTGCAAACGACACAAAAATCAACGTTTGTTTTTAAGTACTGATATAATAAAAATGCAGGTTTAGGCAGCTTTTTCAATTTTCATGGAATTGAATGTCTACACCAGACCAGCACTACAAGTATCAGCCATTTTAGATTGTGTAGGTGTCATGTTGTAATTCAGGTCAGGTGTTGCTGATGAGGGGGAGTCAAACAGTTTTCTACTGTGTTTCACTGGAGTTACATGTGAGTGGAAATATACCAAATCAGAAGAATGATGATGATGATAAAAGGACTGCTGGAAACCAAGGTGGACACGTTGAAACTTCATTGAGTGCATGTTAGAAACAAAAGGGATCATGAGCAACCCAGATTCATTTCTGCCCTTTTACTTAAAGAGCAAGTCACCCCCTACCAGAGTATTACTCTGCTCCCACTTCCTGTTTGTAAAATGCAACAAATGCTTTTGCCTAGCAGACCGAGAGGGCGGAGCCGCTAACAAATACACACACACACACAGGCTCACATTGACTACGTTTACATGCAGCCAATATCCGGGTTATGATCGGGTTAAGGTCGGTATTCGGGTTTCTGAGTTGATCAGAATAACCCGTTTACAAGCATAAATAGAAAGAGTTACCCCTAACTTGCATAACCCGATTTAAATGCCGACGTTGGGGTAGCGTCAGGACGTATGGACTAAGTCAAGACGCAATATGCGTCATATTTCGCTGTCTCTGTACTTTCGGCCGTCAACAAAAGACATAATGCTCATACTTTTCACCAGACCGATGAAGACAGGTTTCCTCGTCACTATAAAAGTGTGGTGCTGTGCCGCGACTCGCCATGTTGCTCCCAACTTGTTGTTTACTTCCGGTGTTCTGGCGCATACAAGACGTCTCGCTACTCAAAAGACCAAGATTCCTTGCGAACAGAGCATGCACAGAACACACGCTTTGATATCCCGATATGCGTTTACACGACCAAACATTCGGGTTAGAAAAGGGTTACCCCAGGTGTAGTAACCGGGTTTTTAAAAACTCAGTTATGAGCATATCCGGGGTTTTGGCGGTGTTTACATGGCCGTGCGGAACCGGGTTATTCGGGTTTTAAAAGGGTTACTGGCTGCATGTAAACGCACTCAATGACGTTGTGACATCATATGGTACCAGCTAACATTCTAGGGTACCTCTTAGCCAATAGTGATGGCAGATTTTAATTCAACTGCAGTGCAGAGTTTTTACCCGACAACGGCACAACGCTGACAGTTTTAGGCAGAAAATTAAAATTTTTACAAAAATGCACTAAAGTGCTAAACTATTGACTACACGTGTCTGCAGCACAATTAGGCACGCATTTATATAGTTTATCAGAAAAAAAGTTGATTTGGGAGTGACTTGCTCTTTCATTTTCCACAATATTGACATGGGCCTACCACAGCAAACATTCATTCGCTTTGTTTTCAGCAGTTCTCTTTCTTAAACCTAAAACTCAGTAACTGAAGCAGAACATCTTGTTAAGAAAACATGAACTAGGTTTCTAACATCTGTATTCCGCAGCTGTCTCACCCCTCAAGCTGTGCCGTGTAGAGCTCTCTGGGCAGGCAGATCACATCTTTCACCACAAGTCCGAGCTTCTGTGGACTCGTCCTCTTCCACTTCATATGACTGGTTTTATTAGGGGACAGCTGAAAGAAATCAGCCGTTACGTCACTGGGCTTTCTATTGGAACCTGTTTGACCATCATGGGTCCTGAAGGATGATATTTAGTCTGATGAAGGCTTAAAACAGTAAAATCTGGGCAGGATGTACCGAAGTGACGATGGAGGAATCCGTTGACTTTATCTCCACAAGTTCAATATCTGCAAGTCTGATAGGAGGAAACGTCTGGGAGGAGAAAGAAAAGACTTCAGAACATAGAAAATGAGAGAAATTATGAACTCAGAAATAATGATCCGAGTTTGAACTGATTATGCAAATTAAGAACCAATAGGCCAACGCACTGACCTCCATCTCAACATCCAGGTCACTCGTCAAGTCTGTGACATGGAGGCAGCACTGAAGCTCCTCCTGGACGGGGGTGGTTCCTTTGGGATCAGTCTGCTGTCTGGACAGGGTCAGAACCTCTGGTTCCTCATCAGAGTCAGAGTCTGAGGCCAGAGGATGCTCCATGTGCCTGTATCTCTGGGTTAGGAGGAAGGTTCGTCTGTCACAGGTTCGGTGTGTCCCAATAAATTATTAGTTTAAACTCTCCCCGATTATTTTCTATCACCTAATTTCTGCTTTATTTTGTAGTTTTACTTTATTCTTTGTAATGACTTCAGTTTTTATCGGGCTTTGGCTGCTAGAGGCTGAACACATTTTTATCATCTTAAAATGGATGGAGGCTTTCACTGTGAACACTTAAGGGAATACTTGCAGCAGTTTTGTTGATACGTAAACAAAGTGATTTACAGTTAAGCCAAAGCAGAAGTTTTCCATGGCGAATTGTTCAAAGTTGACAAAAACAGCTTCAGTTTCAAACAAATTACTTTTTAAATCTAAGTCATTAAGTCACTTTTCACAAAATTAGTCAAAGACAAAACAGAAGATTGCTGAATAAATCAAACAACAGCGGCTCAAACATTTGCACGTGGTTTAAATATAATAAATTCCTGAACTACAAAAGACGACCACTGTTGATGTTTGAACGGAGATTCTGATTGGATCAGCGGTCAGCAGTCTTGAGTCAAATCAACATTTTTATCTTCACATTTACACTTTTCACAAAAACTTGGAATAAAATATGACTTTTTTTTAGCTTTTCATGTTAACTGTAGAGATTCTGTACATTTCATTTTAATTTCCTGCACATTTCATAAAAAAACACACCTTCTCATATTTGCTTTGGTCCTCTTTCACCTGAGTGGTTTTGGTCACACATTGCTCCTCTGAAGAAAACAGAGACATCTCGATGTGTTCAGTGATGACCAGCAACACGGCCTTGCACTCGTTCAGCTTCATCTTCTAAAAAAAACACCTCAGTCTCCAGCAGCTTTCTGCTTTTCTGTAACTTTTCCTCCACAACTTTGGGTTTCTTACATCCCCAGCTGCTGATATCTTGATATCCTTGATTTTTTCATGCTGAACATCCAGATGAACCTCTTGTGAAGGTGGCTCTCCAAACAGCTGAGCCTTCATCAACTCAAGCTGAAGTCTATCAGAGTTTAGAGCCGTGGTTGGCTCACAGTTTGGGATCTGTGGCTGTGATTGGTTCTGCTGCGAGCTCAGATGTGGTCATTGGCTGAGGGGCTGTTGTTTGATCAGAGGTATCTTTACAAGTCAAGAAAGTGGACCTCTGTACTTTAGATTGTTGTGTTTTTAGACACATTTCAAGTCAGAGCAGTTTTATGATGACGTCAGTCAATTTCTACACATCTGCTTTCATTAAAGCTGCTAAGGCAAATTTGGATAAACTTTTTTCTTGCTTTTAAACATTGTTCTAACAATTAAAAAAACTAAACAAAAATAAATTAATAAAGTGGTTTTCTCGCATTTGTCGGACCAAAACCAACTATTGGACCTTCCGGTTGTCTGTCTCCCCGAACACTAAAACCTAAACACTAAAACTAAACCAGCACTGTCCTGGGTCCTCATTCATCACACACTCACGTCTTTAGTAACAGAACACCACAGGTGTGAGAGGTTCTCCGCTCAATAATATCAGAGAAGGAGAAACAGCCAGCTGCTACCACTTCAGCTTTAGGACAAACTACCAGAGTCCCAAAAAGAAAAACACCGTTTGAAGTCACGGACAACAAAAGACGTTTGGACCTAGAAAACGGCGACTGGTGTTTAGCGCCATCTTGTTTCCTCCAGCATCGTGGGTTTCCGGTTCAGGCAGACGCGTTTCAGGGAGGATACTCGAGGGGAGGGGCGTGCGTTCCGTTACCGTGTTTGCATTCAAAACCAAGCTTGTTCTGTAGATTCACTATAGTAGCTTTAATTATTTCATGACACGAACATTTTTCTCTTCGTAAGTAAATTTTATTGACAAAGCACTTATCACATACATGGAATCAAAATGTGCTCCACATAGATAAAAACAAAATAAAACAAAGTCATGAAATCATAGTGATCTCAAAACAGAATCAGATTAACATCAGAAAAAATAAAAGTCATAAAATTATTAAATTTCATAAACAGATGAAAGATTAAAAATTTGAGTTAAAAATAAGAAAACAAACGGTTTAGGTAAAAGCAGCTTTAAATAAAATGGTCTTTAGCTGTTTTTTTAAAAGTGTCCAGACTGTCGATGCTGCGTAAGGATAAAGGAAAATCATTCCAGAGTCGGGGTGCAACAGTCTGGAAGGAGCGATCACCTCGACTTTTGTATCTGGTCTTTGGAACTTCTAGAAGGTTCTGGTGGGTGGACCTGAGGGCTCGGGTTGGAGCATAAGGCTTTAACAGTTCAGTAATACAGGGAGGAGCTTGACCATGTAGAGCATTTAAAGTTGTAGTCAGGATTCTAAAATGAACTCTAAAGTTAACGGGTAACCAGTGCAGAGACAGTAGAATAGGAGTGATGTGTGCTCTTCTGTTTGCTCCAGTTAGGAGCCTCGCTGCAGAGTTCTGGACCAACTGAAGGCGGTCAAGGGCTTTTTGTTAAAACGTGAAGAGTGTGTTACAGTAATCTAGACGGGACGAGATAAAGGCATGGAGAACCATTTCAAGTTCATGTTTGGACACCAACCTTCACAGTTTGGAGATATTTCTTAAGTGATAAAAACGGTTTCGGACCAACGTTTTTGAGTGACCTTCAAGAGACATTGATTGGTCGAAAACAACACCCAAATTCCTTCAGTTTGTCTTGACGGCAGAGGATAAAAGACCAAGTTTTAGACTAATCAGGGGAACCATGCTCTCAGGGGCAATGATCAGACATTCAGTCTTTTCAGAGTTTAACTGAAGGAAGTTATTGTCTAGCCAGCTGGTGATAGCTGATAGATGCTCTAGTAATTCACAGTTTATAGAACTCAGAATCCTTAGAGGAGTAGTACAGCTGAATATCATCAACATATAGGTGATGAGACATTATGAAAAGAATCAAGTATCTGTCCAAGAGGGTGTATGTTTATGTTTATGTATTTAGCAGATGCTTTTATCCAAAGCGATTTACAATTTCAAACCTATAGGGCATTTTGTGATCTGTGGGGGAAACCGGAGTACCCGGAGGAAACCCACGCATGGGGAGAACACGCAACTCCACGCAGAAAGGCCGCAGCCGAGCCGAGTTTCGAACCTGCAACCTTCGTGCTGCGAGGCAACAGTGCTAACCACTGCGCCACCATGTACAGTGTATGTACAGTGTGTGTATGTACAGTAGAAACAACAGTGGACCCAAATAAGAGCCTTGGGGTACCCCACAGAACAGATCGGTAGAATCTGACATGATTTGGTTTATACAGACACTGTAACTTCTGTTAGAAAGGTTCGATCTAAACCAGTCTAGAACAGTTCCAGAGATCCCCACCGAGTCACCAAGTCTGTTAATTAAGGTGCTGTGATCAACAGTGTCAAAAGCTGCAGAAAGACCTAACAATACTAACACTGTGAACTCTCCATTGTCTGGGTCTGTAATTTTTAGGCTGAGATGAGTCCAAACTTGGTTTTTTAAGGTTAGGTTCAATAACTGCATGTTTGAAAACAGATGGTACAGAGCCAGATTTTAGGGATAAATTAATAAAATCTACAATGCTTGGGCCAATTTGGTCAAAGGCTTTAATGCTAAAAGAAAAGATGGATTTTAGAAAGAAATAACTGGTCTGTGCTTGGAGGATTATTCTTTTATATTGCTTTACAGTCTCATGTGAATCCCTAACTTCATAATGAAATAAGAATGCTTAGTTTGAAATAAACGCACAAAAAGAGCAGTTAGGGTTTAACAACTAACAAGTCACAGATGACTTGGAGCCTTCAGCAGGGGACCCGATAACACTTTCCAAACCACATGCATCCGTCATCAAATTATTTGATTCTTTTTGTAGAAAAATGTTTGCTGAAAGTCACAAGTCACAGCTGTGACTTATCAGTTAGTCCACATGTTTAAAGATTTGAACAAAGAATTCAGTCAATTGCAGACGCAGCAGTAGTGATTGTCTCCTATCTGTAACCACCATCAACTCCTGACGAGGTTACCTGACAGAAACCATTCTTCTATGTGGAGATCACGTTTTTCTTAAAAAGGCCAACAGGATGTTGTGAGAAAGCGGCGAGGAAAAAGAAAAGGCCTAACGCTCCGTGGTTAAATGGAGACTTTATTTCTGCCTCCCAGGAATTAAATCCCTTCATGTTACAGAGATTTCACCTAACTGTGCTAGCGTAACTGAAGCAGAGAGAAAAGTGTGTGACTGGATTCTGAGATTTTCGGAGCCGTTTTTTCAATCTGCAGACATGAAATTCAAAGATTTTTGTGTAAAATGATGCAAAAAAGTAGAGCTACTGTCTAAAACAAAGCTTAAAACGTTTTCTCTCGGCTATCGTCAGAACTCCAAATGTTAATAAATAAACGGGTAATGTATCCACATTAAATGCAAACACTAAATCAGAACAAGCGTGAGAAATGTTCTCTCCACCCAGCAGCGTGAGATTTAAGCTGGATGAACTTTGTCAGGCCTTAACGTTTCTCTGGCTGCATGTCAACAGGTAAGGCAGGAAGTATGATGCCGTGCCATCGTCAGGAACAAGCTCCAAGAACTCCAGCGGGCTCGTCTCCATGGCAACCACGACCAGTGTTTCTGTATGTGTGAAACAGAAAAAGAGATCGTTTCACCTTTGCTGATAACAAGTAAATAATGAGTCTTAAAAAGGTCCTTTAAAGGGACTTTACGGCGTTTTGAATTTTTATGCTCGTGATTGCCCCCTCAGGTCAAAAGCGTAACGGCAGCTTCAATAGTGGGCTCGTGCACGAGGTGCGCATGCTGTACGTGCACACTCCTTAACGAAAATAACAGCTGAGACAGTCCCATGTATGTATGTGTGTGTGTGTGTGTGCGTGTCGGAGGACAGGAGAATGCGCAGCTAATTAATTAAATAACTTGGTCTGTACCTTTCTCTTCAGCACAGCCGACAAAGGTTTAAGATGGGTCAGTCCTCCTGCATGCTCAGATCATTCCCTTCCCTTGATTGAAAAATTGTTCCAAAATGAAAGTTGAACCCACATCTTTTTATCTGTGAATTCAATGCCGTTCGGCGAGTCTCAAATAATAATTTGGGTGTCTTACTGTAAATAAAATATACCATTAATGTAAAAAAGAAACTCTAAATAAACTATGTTCACATCCAGAATTGAACCCAGGGCGTCTGCACGGGAGTCCAACGACTTACTAGGTGAGCCAAAGCGCCAGTGGCATCCTTTGTATCTGTAACATTTATATCCTTGATGACAGCTGAAACAACGTTCAAAGAACGGTTCGGAGCGAAAATGACTATTTTGTTGCTAATTTGCAGGAAATATCTAGAAGAAAGTTCTACAGAAAGTAGCTAAGGGTCCTCAGAAATGTAGCTAGCTTCGTCACTAGACGTTAGGAGCAGCGACAAAGTGGCACTGCCTCTCTCTCTGCTGCTAAAGCTATGGATAGCAAATGCTACGGGCTATGCCTGAGCGTGAACGCGCATGAAGCAGCCTGCTCGACCCGAGCAGCTCTCTTTTTCTGTGATTTTACAGAAAAACAGGCAATCACAGTAAAAATGCCAGGGCTCGTTCTACAGGACCAGGGCACTGCAGGAGAATGTATGAAGAAGATATTTATTATTTCTATACATGTTTTGGCTGTCAAACTTCCATAATGTCCCTTTAAATGGGCTTGAATAAAAAAAACACATCTTCTACCGTTGAGGACACTCAGCAGGATGCTGCCGTCAGCGGCAGCTCGCGTCCGGTCACAGAGCTCAGGCAGCAGCTTCGTCCACCAGAGAGCCTGGAGCGATTTAACGAGTCAGTCAGGCGATAAACAAAAATGAAGATCAAGTAAAAGTCACGAATGTTCTCCCCGTACGCACCATGTGCTTATCTTGTAAGTGGTGGTTGGCATAAGCTATAATGGCTTGAGGACATCTGTCCAACAACTTCTCAATGCTCCAGTCATACTGCTCCCTTCTGGTGGCACAAAGGAGGTGCAGGCTGAAGCCCCATGTGGTTTCCTCTGACAGACGCTCCAACAGAGGAACCACGGTTCCAACAGAGAGGGACGGACCGCACAGCAGCGCCTGCACACGAGATTTAGGGATTACCGAGCAAGAAAAGGCTATTTGACAAATTCAGAAAAATATCCTTCATCTGTGCACAAAAATATCTTTGAAATACAAAATTTTACTCTCAAGATTTATTTTTAAGGACTAAAATCTGTTTCTGCCCAGCACGCCTTCAACTGATTAGATAAAGTAATAGCCTGAAAATAATTGTTGTTCATTTAGACAAAAGAGAACAAAACCAGAGTTCATTTAAGGTCAGCAACAAAAGGTTTGTCAAAACATTTGGATGAAAATCTTTAAAATCAATGTTTTCAAAAAATAAAAACACAGCAAGCCCCATCGTAAACTCATTTCATAAGAAAGTATTACAAACTTTATTATCTGGACTTTTTGTTGTTGTTGGAGAAATGAAAGCCAATGCACTGCCATAAAAACATCCCTACAGCTAATAAAACACTGAGGAAACATGCTTGTAGTTTGTGCAGCGCCTCCTGGTGTTGGGAGCTGGACATTTGAGCTGGATTGAGAACAGTGAGCCACGGGTGGAGAGCTCCAAAATGAGAGCAGGAACTGATCTGAAACACACAAAAGAATGAGTAACTATAAAAACAAGACACTGCAGCAACCGACCAGATAAAGACAGCAAGCGTACCAGGTCCTCGGCACTTTTCAGGGACTTTTGCTTTGATGTTGTGTTGCTGATTGTGTTTGTTAGTCGGTCGATGTAAACAGACGCCAGACGGAAAAGAAGCTCCTGAATGACGGCATCCTGGGAAGAGGCCATCAGCATCGCTTCCCAAAAATCCACCTGTAAGCTGTTGTCACAGCTCAGCTCCTAAACACACACACACACACACACACACACACACACACACACACACACACACACACACACACACACACACACACACATCATGCAGATTCGATAAATATAAACTTAATTTAATCGCCGACCCTGAATCATTCATTCACCACACCTGTCTGGTGCCAGGGACACACACCTTGAAGATGAAGTCAGCCTGTTCCAGCTGAACTTTGCTGTTCTCGTGCAAAGCCACCATGGCGGCCACGAGCAGTCCAGGTTGGGAGTTTGCCAGCTGTCGAGCCAGCGCTGTGGTGCAGACCTGCTCCTTCTTGCCTCCTCCTCCTCCGTCGTGCAGCAGCAGCCTCGGCTCCTCGATGAACCCGTACACCAGCAGCATCTGAACATGGAAACTGTTATCATACTGTTTCACTTTTGTTTACTATCTGAAAAACAGAATGACGTAAATGCAGAACAAACTGTATAGGTCTGATTTGTAATTAAATATATTTAAAGGTGCAATACGTAAGAATAAAGCAAGAATGACATCCTGCGGTCAAATTTGGTTACTGCAGGACATTTATCTAAAAAAGGGACTCTCTCGTTCCTGATCCATGAGTTTCATGGCTGTTGCCAGTTACAGAAGATTCTAGATTACAAGCAAAGATGAGTCATACACAATAAGTTGATAAGTAGTGTTTACTTCCGGTAATATGTCTCCGGCGTTAGAAAAGTGTGGCTGTTGGCCGTCTTGCTGCTAGCTTGCTGTTATGGTCTCTTTAAAGTAGCTTTCCGGAGTTTTCCCCTTTCAGAAATGATGTATGACTTGTCATAAATCCGTAAAAGTGATTGTCTCATCATGTACTGTGATAAAATGTAAGCAATACATCTTTTTTTTTTTTTTGCTAACCACGCCCCCTGCCCGGCAGAGCTCTGTGCAATAGGAAACTGAGCGCCGACCAGAGCTAACCGATAGTTTTAGACTACCGCTTACTTGCTTCAAATTTAAGGAATACCTCAGCTGATGCACAGTTGATGAACTTTTCACAGACAAGTAAGTCTCTAAAATATAAATATATGAAAACACAACATGGCACGAAAATAATTCTCGTAAAACAACGTGTTTTCGCTCTGTTTGTCAGCTACAGAAGCACATTTATAAACAGAAACATGAAGTCGCCATCTTAAACAAACAGAGCAACAGATTTTTTGTGTGATATGATTGTCAGCCACTAGATGGTGCCATCGGATAAGAGAAATACTCCGGAAAGAAGCTTTAAAGGAAGTAAAACACCACAATCCGACTCATTCACTTCACACACACATTTCACTGTAACACCCAGTTGTTGGTTTTAAAAAAGTAGCTTGAGATTATTTTAGAGCTTACTATTTGAGTCTAAAGCCTGACAGGTGTGGTGAAGGACTGTAAGTCGCTTTGAACAAAAGCGTCTGCTAAATACATATACATAAACATAAATCACCGTTAGCATTGTTAGCTCAATGTTAGCCTCTTGCCTGCTTTACCCGATATTAGAGTAAAAAAAGCGTGCCGTGGCTTCTTAGGGGTACAAGAAATTACTTCTGGGTCACTCCTGTTAACTGGCGTCAGTTCTTTAAACAACTCTGGAGCTTTTTGCCTGCTAGTGTTGAATTACAAGTGCTGGTGCTGTAGCGTTAGCCCGGCGCAGACTCGGCAATCCTGCAGGTTCACAGATTGTAAACAAAGACTCACTTTGACTATTTTGAAAGGAGAAAAACTAACAACCCCCCACCCCACCCCAGACATATTGCTCCTTTAAGATGTTTAAAGTTACTTCAGCTGATGGACTTTAAACAAAAATGGCCCCCTGACCTCAGCATGTCGCTCCATTAACTCTGTGTACTGGGGTAGGTTGCCCAGGTGCAGCATCATGGTTGCCATGGTGATGGTTAGAGGTACTGAAACTCCGGCGGTGTCCTCCAGGCATTGTAAGATCTGCAGTGTCCGAGCAGGATTAACGTTCTTCATGCATGGGCTGGCACACACAGTCACAAGCAGTGAGGGCTCCGATTGGCTGAAAATATCAATGACCTCATCAGCCGTTTCCTGCGGGGAGGTAAAGTGTGAACCACTCATCTTAATTTCCTTTAAATGTGTCATGTTCACTTCAAAATAAAAGCAAGAGTTACACAGGAGGGTGAGATAAAAACTAAAGAAATGCAAAAGCTCTTTTTTGCACCGTGCTGAGGGTCTCATCTGTTTCCTCAAAAAGGTAATGTTTTAGATAAAACAGGAAGCCAGGGCCGTAGGAGTGAGGGCTGCCTGGGAGTGGGCGGTTCCTGGACATGACATCAGTGACCGACAGACCAGACATCCTGTAATATGGCAAAGCCAGGTGGCAATCCTTTGGACTTCCCCTTATCAAACAAGACACAACCAAGAAGAGCTCGTTAAGAAGGCGTTTCCACAAAAACAACAATCCTAAAGGTTAGTTTGTGGGTTACCTGCTAAAACTGTCTCCCAGCTGGGAACAGTTCTGCCTGAACACCTCCTCCAGCTCCTGTTTCTCTGTCAGTGTGGCCATCTTCTCATCAGGGTCGCCTGTGCTGTCCTGATGACGCTTTGATGTTTGCAGTAAGGCGGTGCGAACGAGGAGGTGAGCTTCACTGAGGAGGTGCCGAAGACTTTGGCTCTGTGGGTTGTTTTCAGCGTAGTTCTGACTATACTCAGCCTGATACACACACAAAAAACACACATTAAATATACTAGGGAAAAAATCAAAGAAATAAATCACAGTATAAAAACAAGCGATTACATCGGATTGAACCATAGAGATAATTTAAGTGTATCTGGTGTTACCATCTCCTGGTAGAGAGTGAGAGGCGAGACCATGTCGACGACGTAGAGGTTCCATCCATGTCCGGCTGTTCTGGTTTCTTTCGGGGAGGTTATTATCCACCTTCTGGTCCTGAGGTTGAAAGATTACAAATATAGATAATAACAAGCATGCAATCATCTAAAAGTGTAGGAACAAATGTGTGGTGTTCTCAATTCATTCTAAAGGATTTCTCTTCATTTCAATTTAAAAATAAATGTTGACGGGATTTATGGCCCTTTGAAGGGAGCCATTCATTAGTCGGTCGTTTGCCTCAAAAAGACGTTCATAAGGCTGGCTCTTGAACGAGATGGGGTCTGAATTTAAGGTCCGGACTCTGGTGGCCAATCCATGAGTGAAAAAGATGTCTCATGCTCCCTGAACCACTCTTTCGCTATCTGAGCCCGATGAATCCTGGCACTGTCATCTTGGAATACACCCGTGTCAACAGGGACGATGGAATAACCTGGTCATTCAGTGTATTCAGGTAGTCAGCTGACCTCATTCTTGGAGCACATCCTGTTGCCAAACCTAGACCTGACCAACTGCAGCAAGCCCAGATCATAGCACTGCCCCCACAGGCGTGTACAGTAGGCACTAGGCATAATGGGTGCATCACTTCATCTGCCTCTCTTCTTACCCTGATGCACCATCACGCTGGAACAGGGTCCATCTGGACTCATCAGACCAGTTTTTAATAATGCGTTGGACAGTTCTTAACCCAGTTTTAGTTGTTTCTGCATCTCATTTGATGTTTCTGCTTGATGCCAAAGATCTGACCCTTCTCACACAGACTAACATATTTTCCACGACCAACAGATGTGTCTTTCCACGTGTTTATTTAACAAATGAGGAGCAACTCATTGCACCAGCTGGGGTTAAATAACTTATTGCAGCTGGAAAGATAATCGCCCACGCAGTAATTATCCTATAGGAGGCTCCTACCCGCTTGCTCAGTTAAATCCAGGTGGTGACTTTGTTTGGCCAGGTAGCGAATGACGCCACAGCAGAATCCCCTCTTCCCTGGCATAGCTGCTACTTACCACAAGACCACATTTAAAGTGGTTTTCACCACATTTAATGCTCCATCTTTCGTGTGATCGCAGAACATTTTTGCATGGATTTTAAAGATTTTATTATTAACTCATTAACTGCCATTGACGACAAAAAGTCGTCATTTGCATTTTTTTTTTACTGTGTGGGTGTCGGATCGACCCCCACACCGTGAGAACAAACATCCCAGCTCTAAAGCCGATCTTCATCCGCATACGTCACACGTCACGTGATCAGGAAGCAGAAAATCCATGTGTTAGGAGATCGTTTTGGGCCGTTCCTGTAACAAAAAGTGAGGCGCAAACCGGAAAAGCTTCTGCTGATCATAGTTCAACAACGGATTATGAAAGAACGGATCACGCTCGAAACCCGCGGAATCTTCCTGATGTTAAGAGGTGAGTCTCCTCTTTGTTTTCAATCAATCAATCAATCAATCAATCAATCAAAGCTTTATTTATAAAGCGCCTTCCGCGAGACCCTGTCGGAAAGCCCAAGGCGCTGAACATGGTACATGAGAAATGTGAAACATGATGAATAAATCGAAAATAAATGCAATTCAAATAGTGCAGAAAAAGGTAAAACATTAAAGTAGAAGGTAAATGGACGGTATAGCGGTAAACCCTGGTAAAAAAGTTGACAGTAAAAATAACCGTCCAGTTTTAAAAAAACTAAATTATCTCGGTGGGTTTACCGTGGCCGCGGTTTAGGCACGGTGACCCTTACCAGCCACCGTCGCTTCTGCTGAAGTTCCCACGCACACGCACTTTTTAGTTTGCAACCAAAACTTTGAAGCTGAAATAATGGCCGAAGGAGGAGAAGGCAGCGCCCAGGACATCCATCAGCCCTCAAAGAAGACTAAATCGGAAGTATGGGCATATTTTCTTCTCTGGAGCTCACAGGGAGCAGACGCTTCTGCCTTTCGTCCCTTATCTGTTTTTTCCCAAGGCTCTTTTTTGTCCCGTCTGCCTACAGAGCGCTTCTCTGCATTTCCTCTGCAATCACCTTTTCAGCATTTTTCAACATGGACTTAATTAATTGGTCATTCAACGCGATTGATAAGATTTTTTCTACAATGAGGACGGAGGAGGGGGCTCACGCTTGTCCTCAGGGGACACATGCAGCGGGATATATGTTCGATTCCTGGAAAAAGTGGAATGTCATCTGTCTCTCTCAGCTGTCCATTGAGGACGTCGAAGATATGTGGATATTTGGCCTGATGATCGTTGGATTTCTTCTGATTGGAGTGGGAGGATATCTGGCTTTCCGTAAAATTCGGATGACGGGAGCGATTGGAGGGCGACCCGCAACCATGGACGGCACCGTCCGTGTGGATACCTCACAGACTGGGACGTTGCTCGAGGTGAATCGCAAGCTGGACAATGTCTTAGCTGCATTACCGGTGTTAGCGCGCAGGATTGATAACATCTCGGAAAGGGTCACCGGACGGTGTGGAGATGTTTAATCACTGAATTGGCTTCACTGGAGGACTTGAATGATCAATACAGACTTAAGGCAAAGAGAAAAAATTATCTCTGTCTGACCCAAAAAAAGTTTCTGTTATCGAATCTGACGCCATAAGCAGCCTTGGAGTTGCATGCAAAACCCCCACGCTGGAAGGAATGCTGACAAATGCTGTGAATCTCTATCCACCCCCCCCCCCCCACCACCACCCCCCCGCCTTCAGATTGAGGTCTCCAACGAGGTCATCAAGCTAAAGGACTCACTGCCCTTTGTGCTTCCCATGACCTCCCTCCCACCTGCGGAGCCAGCTGGTTGAGCGCCACAACGGGCCGCCCCCGCTGAGGAACCAGGATCCCAGCCCCTCCCCCCTACCTACTGGGTCTCATGTTGTGAACTGTGAAGTTTGTTGCTTACATGTCGGGTGTTTTTTTGCATTGGAGTGCTGCACCCTGCTGGTGTAACCCTGTTAATGCCTTTTTTTCTCCCTCCCTGAACTTCCCTCATGTAACACCCTTTTCATCTATCTATTAAGGTAGCGCGACTCATGTTGCGAATGACCGCAGTCACCAATTCTTGTTATGTGTCTTACCCACGTATGTCTGATCTTTGAATTGTGTGTGCTGAAACTGAATTTAATTTCTCCGTATGTCCTGCACATGTGGTAGAAGATGACAATAAATGACTTTGACTTTTTGACTTTGATTTTGGATTTCTGAAAAATGCTGAGGGACAGTTAATAGAAGACTGCTATCCCGTTTGCAGAACGTGCAGGAAAAGTGTCTGCAAAAGGCAGCAACACTTCGAATCTAATGGCACATCTGCGTGACCATCTCTCTACAGCCAGTGCAAGGTAAGTTAACATTGGCATTTTAGCTTAAATGCATGACGTGAGGACTTTTGGTTGAGGGAGAATGCAACGAGTCACCATATATACTGCAGCCGCAGCGTCCTCTGCCAGCATTTAAACCGTGCCACGGACACCCTGTTGCTGGATGAAGCATCTTATTTGTTGATGATGAGGAGAAATATACAATTAGTTCCTTGTCATTGATTTGTTTACTTATTCAATGCCATTTATACTTGAACATTTGGATTTGATTACATAGTGTAGTAGTTATTTTAGCAATTTGTTTAAAGTGGCTATTTATTTTAAATACATATTTTTTTAAGGTTGACTTGTACAGTGCTCAAGTCAAGTGTGGACTGGAGTTTTAGATTTTCATTTTGATAATGAAGAAAACAAGTATATGAGAAAACAAGTGGTGTTTCTTTGATTTGCTTACATATTGTTTATGTTTCGAATGTTTGGATTTGTATCATTTAAACCTGCACTGACTACTGTAACATGTTCCAGAAAAATAAGCTATGTGTTCCTTTACTTGTGAAAAGTTGCACTTTTGCTAAGGCTTTGTGTTATTTTAGGTTTAATAAACACTGTTAAACCTTTTCAAAACTATTTCAGTTTGTGTAGAACAGGACTATCAATGCTTTCTGAACATATGCAACATCGTTTAAAAAATACCGCGATAATACCGAAAACCGTGATAATTTTGGTCACAATAACCGTGAGGTTAAATTTTCATACCGTGACAACCCTAGAGTGAACCAATGAAAACAGGGAAATAAAATCTACATAAAAGAGGGCCAAATTCAAACACGTTCAGGGAACGCCAAGCGGAGGTGGTGTGTTTTTAGGCGACTCTTAAAGACTGGCAGAGAAGGGGACAGCCTAACTGAGGGTGGCAACTGGTTCCACAGTGACGGTGCTAGGACTGAGAAAGCCCGGTCCCCGCAAGTACGACACCTAGAACGAGGGACAACGAGCAGGCCTTGGTCAGAGGAGCGCAGAACGCATGATGGGGAATGTCTGTTCAGGAGAGTGGCCAGATAGGGGGGAGCACCACCCTGGAAGAAATTGTAAACAAAGACGAGGAGTTTAAAGTGTGAACGATAACAGACCGGAAGCCAGTGCAGGGAGGTCAGAACCGGACTGATGTGGTCCCTTTTCCTGGTCCCAGTCAGGAACCTGGCTGCGCTCTTCTGCACGACCTGTAGGCGACGCAGTGATGACTGACCCAGTGCTGCATATAGAGAGTTGCACTAACCAAGCCTAGAAATTACAAAAGCATGGAGTACCCGCTCCAGGTGGGCTCTTGACAGCATAGGCTTGATTTTTGCAAGGCGTCTCAGATGAAAGAAACTGAACCGGATCAGAGTTGATGTGAGCATCAAATTTAAGTCCAGCTTCAATTTTCACCCCCAGACTGGTGACAACTGGTTTTGAGTAGGGAGAAAGAGGGCCAAGATCAAGGTTGAGATGGAATTAATTGGCTTCTGTTATATTAAATGGTTTAAATTAACACCACGACGACGACGGTCAACAGAAAAGTTTTCAAGACAACCGCTCACCAACGCAGTTGGACGCTCAACTGACAGATAAGAACTCGGCGACCACGCCCCACTGCCATCACCTGCAGCACGATGAAAAATTAAAACACCTGCGCCATAATAATAAACAAAAAACATTCTATTTGCCTCCTACACTTAGTGAGGAAAGTCTTTTAAAATAACGTCAGGTTACTATGTTAGCTGACAGACTCCAAAACAGAGCTTTGTTTTAGAAAACAATTAGTTTGTGAATGAATTACAAAAAGTGCACATACTAATGTAGGTTAGGCGGGTTATGAAAAGCTAGGTTATAACGTCCTAAAAAAGGAAAATGTTGTCACCTTTAGCTCAAACTTTTTACTTCTTGCAGCAACATTTAAATATTATCTGGCCTCCATTTTTTTAGATGTTCAGATCCTTCTACAGTTGGGTTAAATGATGGTTTTCAAGTCCGGCAAAACAAAAAATAAGGGATTTTCCTAAAAACGTCAAAAGATAATTCTTTATGTCATGAAATGCAGAACTAAATCAAACCACACGTCCTCTTGTTAAACTACAGGCTGAATATGTTTCATACCCATTTATTTTAATGAGTATCTAGATGGATTTAAGCAGCTTGACCAGAAAGTGACAACAAAAGCTGAAGGGGGGGGGGGGGGGGGGGGGGGGGGGTTGGGGGTTGGGTGTGTCTTACAAGAAGGGACGTGATAGGAGGCTCTTCAGAGCTGGTGAGGTTGCGGGATCGATTCCCACCGCAAGGAAAATACCAGTCAGCATGTTGTGCTCTTGTAACTCGCTAAAATAACGACACACAGATAAAGTAAAGAGCTTTACGAATGCGTGCAGGACTAGTTCTGTCATGGCTCCTCCGGGAGGTGAGATCTCTGATGAAAACGCTCTCCAGGCTGAATGGAGGTTTGCATGCAGGATGTGTGCGACTTACAGGCCTCGGCGCTGTGTGTGGCGTTCCGTTTCCTCTGGTGCTTCTGAGTCAGCAGCAGAGAAAAGAACAACGTGGCGGCCGTAGACACAGATGGACCGCAGGCCAATGAATAACTGCATTCTGAGCGCACAAGTCTCCAGGCTGCTGGGTGGACACGCCTTTCAAACACACACATTAAACATTAAATTAAACTTTTGCATGAGTATTGATCAGAAATCAGCAGTAATGCGTCTGGGTAGCGGTTTTCTTTTTGGGCCACTAGAGGGCAGCACAAACAATCAATTTAGCACTAAAGGATGAACACAAGATGGTGCAAAATAACCCGTTTACATGAGTTACAGTGACTAATGATTGACACACACCTTTATAGTCGTGTCGATGTAGGGGTCTTCTATCCTGGCTGCGACTGCAGCACAACGCACAGTGAAGGACTGCAAAGTGCTCCTATCAGACAACAGAAGGACATTTAAGTGAGATTCCAAAAATACACTCCAGTTCAAAAATGACAATGATTTTAGAAAAGTTAACAACTTGACTCAACTTTAAATGGCATTGTTACAGAGATTTAGTTTTTGTTTTTATGTGACAGAATAATTAGGAATAATTATTACATTATTCAAACGCCATAAGGAATCCTTTCTGGAAAGGGTTTTTCCTTAAAGACATCTTGATCTTTGAGCCTCTATGTAACATAGGAAACTTTGTTGGGGCTCAAAATGGCCTAGGAGCCCTAAAGCTTGGTTTATGCTTGACACATTTACTTTCCGCTTGGTGATGCGGCTCGCGGATGGAACGCGCTTCACAACTCGCAGCACTTATGGTTCGTGCGGCTTGTCTCTGCGGTGAGCCAATATTCTCCCAAACTGTAGGGGGCAGCATGGAGCTCTACGGCATGCATCCAACACTACACCATAGTAGAAGTAAAAATTACTGTTGTTTACAACATGGCATTTCAGTATTTTTGAACAGCGTTCTCGTCTTTTCCGACAGTGCGAGCTATTTCTCTCCAAGAATAATTAAAAACATGTTGATCACGGTGATCTTTGAGAGCCGAATCATACAAATGTCTGTATTTACCAACCTCTGCCATACTAGTTCTTGCCAGTCCGCCATGTTTTTCCGCGTCCGACCGTCCGCGTGGTAAGAAAATTTCCTAGGTGCGCGGTGCGGATACTTTGGGCCGTGCGGAGGCGCGGTGGAGGGGCGTGGTTGTTAAAATGATGCAATTTCGCCGCGCAGAGCCGTGCGAACCTCGCGGATGCGTCAAGCATAAACCAAGCTTTAAGCAACCCCATAATAAAACATTTATATATTGCGGACGCTGAATTGAATTCAATTCAAGATTATTTACATAGCGCCAAACCATGACAAGAGTCTCCAGTCTCAAGGGCCTTCACATAGTAAACATTCCAATTCAGGTCAGGTCATTAAGCCAATCAGTAAAAAGTTTCCTATATATGAACGCAGCAGGTTGCATCGAGTCACTGACTAGTGTCAGAGACTTTACAGCAATCCTCATACTAAGCATGCATGCAGCGACAGTGGAGAGGAAAACTCCCTTTTAACAGGAAGAAACCTCCAGAGGATCCTGGCTCCGTATAAGCAGCCATCCTCCACACCGAAGTGGGTTAGGATATGCAAATTTAAGTGTGTGTGTGTGTGTGTGTTTGTGTGTGTGTCTATGATGTGCTAAACCAGCTTCTCTTAGAACAAACCGTTTCTCTGTGGCCTTTACAACGTTACTCGTCTGTATAGAAAAGCAGGATGGAGATGGCACAAGCTTTTAGGTACGCTAAGTTAAATGATAAATGACACACTTGAATAGCGCCTCTCAGAGTTAGGACTCCGAAGAGCTTTACACTACAGCGTATCATTCATCCGTTCACACACACATTCACACACTGATGGTGATGAGCTACGATGTAGCCACAGCTGCCCTGGGGCACACTGAGTTAAGGTGTCTTGCCCAAGGACACAACAGCAGAATTCTCCGTCCGGAGCCAGGATCGAACTTGCAACCTTCCGATTACTGGGCAATGCGCTTAACCTGCTGAGCTACTAGACACCCCAAGCTGCATGTACCCCAACTCTAAACCAACAACAACAAGGAAAATGTGGTTTGGGATTATAGGATCCCTTTAAAATGTTCTCCCAAAAAACTGGTAAATAAAAAAAAATTAGAAAATAAAGATTTTTTTTTCCTTCTCAGTGGTCTCCACTTACTTTGTTATGACATGCAACAAGTGATCCGTTAGCACCGCCTCCTGCACCTTCTCTGGATACTGATAGGTGGAGAGCAGCTCAACTCCGCCCCTCAGACTGTACAGGTAACCAGCGTTGGGGAGAGAGAAGAAACAGAACACGCACGCTGGCTCATCCAGAAGTGGCGACTGGTTACCTGGAAATGAACAAACTATTAATATGTAAAACCAGAACAGAACGACGCGATCCCTCTGATCAGCCCTTCTTCATGTCCCTAGCTCCCGCTGTAAGCCCCGCGGGGAGCGCGCTTTTTCCGTTTGTGCACCGAAGCTCTGGAACCACTCGCCCCTCCCCATCAGACTCTCTTCCTCTCTTTCCCTTTGTTTAAAAACTCACTTTTACTCTCTGGCTTTTAATTCAGTCCAACTTATTCTCTTTTTTTCCTTTTCTTTTCTATTTGTATTACTCGATTTTAATGGATTTAGTTTTTATTTTTGATTTTATTATGTGCTTTTGTTCAGCACTTTGCCTCTCATGCCGTGTTAAAATGTGCTATACAAATAAACTTGGTATGGTAATTGTGTATTTTATCTTTTTATTTAAATGCTCTTTTCAAAATCAGGTTAGTAAAGCTCCACTTTGGCTGGATCCACTGGCGGTTTTTAACAGGGGCCCACAGGGGCCTGGGCCCCTATAGAACCGGCCCTGGCCCCTGTTATGGCCCCTGTGCTGAAGAGATCATATTTTTCTTCCCCGCGCTGCCTCGGAGACGGGAACTAATGCGCTGCAGCGTTTCAAACGGAGCCTTTAGAGCGCAGCACACTCTGTGGACAGAACTGTTTACCCGGTGGATTTTTGAATAAAAGATTAAAAATAGTTAAATGGGACCCAAAGAAATCCTTGAGGATGACTAAAGGAAAAGACGCGGAGAGACAAAGGCAAGCAATGCAATTTATTTTCCTGACATCAATGAATTTCCTTTTGGCAAAATTGTGCACAAGCACAAAATTTGTCATATGGTGACGACAAAAAAGAATTTTGATATTGCACTAATTTTTCCCTTTTTTTCTTGCGCCCCCATGAAAAAAATACTGGCCCCACTGTGGCCCCCCTGGAAAATTTGGCCTAGAACCGCCCCTGGCTGGATCACTCACTGGTGAACAGCGGGTAGAGCTGCAGTGAGTGGAGCTGCATCTCCTCCACGCTGCAGCCTTGAAAGAACTCAGGAGAGAAACGCCTGCAGAAAAGAAGTCACTCAATTTAAACACACAGCAATAATCAAATATTCTCACAGTAAATAGCAAAGTTACACCCTAATCCACCTGAAAAGGACATAGGTCCTGGTGTACCGTCTCCCGTCCTCCAGTCCAGTGTTTTCAACGCCGACCACGACGTCACAGTCTTCTGCTCGATTCCCGAGCAGCTCCTGGTGTCGCGGAACCAGCAGAAAATCACTCTGGTCCTCCAGATAATCTCCTGCACATTTAAGCACACGCATTTCAAACAATCCCTCTTGTCCTCCATGGCATGTTACATACTCGTGTAGCAGATGATGTTTGGTGCTTGTAGATAAAAAAAAAAAAAAAAAAAAAAAGAACACTCCTACATTTCTGGTCTCTTGCTCTTTTGATATTTAGGCTGAACACAAATTAGCCTTGAAGCTGAAACTAGAATATGATTGATCAATTTTCATTTCCGTACAAGCAAAGCACAAGTTTTAGACAGCAACTGTTTATTTGACCTCGTTCATGGTACACTTCTGATCCTACACGCTAAACCTGAGCTACTAAATAACGACAGAGCCCAAAGGCTTTCCGTCTGTTTTGTTATACCGCTCGGGTGTGCATCCGAGGATTCTTGCATGGTTGGCTCAGATGTCACCTCCAGCTTCAGCACCAGCACCTCCAGCTCTGCCTGCACAGCCACAAACCCTCCACACAGCGCCACCTGGGGATTTTAATGGGTTTAATATTCACACACACAAAAAATACAGCTATTAGCCCTTTGTTTCCAAAGTTATTTAATCCGAGCTGCAAAGCATTTCATTCAGCTTACATTTATCTGTTTGGAGGGGGTAAAGTGTTCTCTTAATATTTCAACATTAAAATCTCCATTTTCTTCGAGAGGTTTATTTAGGCAGTTTTGACGGCCTGCTGTAAATACTCTTATTGGATCTAATCAGTGAAAATGTTGAGAGGAGAATGTAAGGAACAATTTTGAAGGCAACTAGGCAACTTTTTTATATTTTTAAATCTTTTTCTTGAGCCAGTATGTGCTAAAATGACCTTTAGAGGGCTAATGAAATGTCACTCAGCCCCCCACCACCCCCTGTGGCCAGAATACCGCACTTGCAACTCGAGAGTGCCGGTCCAGTCCCTGTTGGACTTGGTAAATGTGGAGCTGACATGTCAGCGCTGGAGTCTGCTTTCAGCACAGTCCCTGCATGTTTTAGATCATGAACACAGCTGATTTGTTTGATTTAGTGATGAATCACTCCTGTAGACACTAATGAAGGCTGAGGAGACACTTCAGCTGTTAGATTAAGGTGGTAAAAAACGAATGCACAGCAAGGAGATGAGTTTCACTTTTGGTTTCATGACAGTGTGATAAAACTGACTCGAGGGGGTGCTAGCTAAGACTACCTAGTTTCCCTTTAAAGGTCTCATTTAGTTGAGTGTTGCAATACTTGTTCTGTATAAAATGTGATGAGTCGCTTTGAGCTGCATACACATGCTGAACATGAACAGATGGGGAAAGATCAGGTCAGAAACAGCCAGTCTCCGCTACATCACAGAGAAAATGGGGACTGCACACAGGAAGGCTTGATTTTCGGATCCAGGAGAGAGCAGAGCGCATCTCGGGTTGCTGAAGCTAACCATTAGCATTAGCAACTCCACAACATGGCAGATCACGTTCAGGCTTGTGTTGATAAAACATCTACGTTGTGCTTTAAACCCAAGAATGTTAATAATTAGGGCAGCAAAATAGCTGTGCTGCTGTTAGCCAATCAGGGGTGATGTGATTGCATATCATGAATATTAATTAGAAACAATCAATCTTTTTGCCCCACCCACTCCTCTATCAATTCAATTCAATTCACGTTTATTTATATAGCGCCAAATCACGACAAGAGTCGTCTCAAGGCACTTCACAAAATAAACATTCCCATTCAGGTCAGTTCATTAAGCCAATCAGAGATCATGTTTCCTATATAAGGAACCCAGCAAATTGCATCAAGTCACTGACTAGTGTCAGTGACTTGATGCAATCCTCAGACCAAACATCCACCACCTGAAATAGGAGGGCAAGAGCTTTTTTCCCATAGAAAACAGCTGATAAGACGTTCATACTAGAGCCCACTGTACATGAATTGAAACGAGGAGTGAATGAGAAATCCAAATTCCAGCGTGGGTTTTACACCCCTCATCAATTTGTACACACTCCACAGAAATACTACAATCTTCAAGTCTTAGAGAGGGAAAAATAAAGCTGTCCTAGAGCAGATGACGGTTAAATGGTGAACCAAATCGAGGATCTAGATCGGGATTTTGAAGACTAAAATGTGAAGCAGGAACCGAACCAATAATACGTTGAAAGTACCTGCTTAGGAGTCATTTTTGAAAGATGCAGGATGACTGAGCGTTCAAAATCCAGGAAGGAATCTTTCTGACAAGAACTGGAGGTCTGACCTGCGACTAAAAAAACAACAACTCAGCTGAGCCAAAAGAGTCACTTTGTATTACACAGGGTATCTGCAGGTTTCAGGGAGCCAAATTTAAGACTTTTTAAGACCTTTTTAAGGCCACTTTGACCAAATTTAAGCTATTTTTTAAATTTTAAGCTATAATTTCCAGCTATTGCCTGGAATCGGTGCTAACCACGTCGCAAATGTGGGATTAGCCATCCAGTTACCATTAAACTTGCACTTCCCCATGGCGCAAGCTCCCACTAGTTTAACCAGCTAATGTGCTCATCTAAAAATAGCCCCCTTTCACAACCAACTGAATGTGTACGGTTCCGCTTATGCAAATGTCATACACAAAAAATGCTGAACACTAGATATTCACAAAAATTTTATAGAAATAAAATAATCTTGTTTATTGGGTCTTTGGAAATTTAAGACCTTTGGAAACTGTATTTAAGGATTATTTGTAATTTTTATGGAGTTTCAAGGCCTTAAATTTGGAAAAGCAAATTTAAGACTTCTTAAGACTTTTTAAGGACCCGCGGATACCCTGATCACAAGTCCTTCTCCTCCAGTCGTCAGTTCTTCTTTTGGGTGGTTTAACTTTATTAGCAGTGCCTGAGACCTTCGACTAGACCTGATCAACACCTGCACTCACCTGGACTGCAGCTCTGCTGAGCACTCGACCAGAAACTCAGAGGGTTCTGCTGGTTCGGATTCTGCCATTAGATTTTTAAAGTTACACGAACATAAAAACGGATTAAACATAAGTGTACTTAAACTGGAGTAATAACCAAGTTCTTACCAAATTCTCCTGGTTCTGTCTCTTCAAGGTAAAAAGAACCAAAGTGTTCTCACAGCCGACCAGAAGATCTCCGGTCACAGAGCAACAGGCCACGGCGACAGGATGATCAGACAGTGGGATCTCGATAATCTCCGTCTGCACGCCGCCCCACGCCGACGCTCCACGCAGCAAGTGGCCCAGTAAACGCACCCCAATGCGGGCCTTCTCCTCCGCCTGAGCACAGCAACACATAAACGAACGGGAAAATGCAGATTTCAGAAGACAGAGGAGCGATTTAGTCATTGTAGCCTCCAGGAATGGTCAATTTTCATCTACAGTTTGACCTCTTCAGCATCTGGTCATTTGGAGACATAAGTCTTAACTGGTGCTATCAATCTGCAAGAAAGATACTGTTGCTTGGCCAAGGTCCCTCGCAAAGCTCCCTCTTATCTGAGACTGGTTTTTATTCACAGAACAAGACGGATGAACAACATGAGCAACTAATCATATAATGAAATGGACAATAAGGTTAAATGAAATGTTTTGATTAATCTGTGCTTAAATTACTGAAGTTGAAATGAATATTATTATTACATTGAAAGAATAATCAGGATGAAATGAAATATATGACCCATATATTTAATCAGCACACTGACTGGACAAGACACACCCACCATATCTCCATGACGCAAGTATAACTTTACGTCACTGCACATAGATAATTTCTTATCCACAAAATCAGCATCTTCACATCTGAGGGAGGTGTGTATCTGAGTTTGTTGGCAAAACCCCTTTATAGGGAGAGTTCTGATTAGTCAGTAAACCAAATAATGGCCATTATTAAAACAGCATCACTTCCTGAGTGATTCAGTTGAGCCCTACTCTGACTGGCCATCGGAGGGAAACTCTGCTCCCATCGCACCTTTTGACAAGCTGTCAAAACCTGTTGCATGCTACAGCTGATACCGCATATGGTTCCTTCAGAATAAAGCTGAACCAGCTCTGACTCCTTAAGAGCCCTTCCATAGACGCAAATAACTACCTGTCGTGACCTGGAGAGGTCTCGAGACCGGTCTAGTTGGCACTGCGGTTTCTTCTACGGACTTCGGTACCTTTGGGGTCCCCGGACTTCAACACGCTCCGGATCTACCACGGGGGTCTCCGAGAGAGTACGTAGACTCGACAGATTGCGTCTGATGTGGTTTTATAAAGCATCAATGATAGTTCATAGCAGCCCAAACTCACTCCCACTCAGAACTCAGTTTCTCCAGATATGAGGGTTCTGATAACATCACATTCACACTTCATCACACCTCACCTTACATCCACTTATAGATTCATTCATCACATAAAAGTGTTTCCTAGTTGTCATGTTTTTAATTGTTTAGAAAAAAAAATTCTTACTTTTATAAACTTGACTCTCTCTCTGAATTAATACGAAGTGTCTGACGATCCCTGAATAAACAAAGAATTCTAAATCTTCTGGTTAAACATTCAACGACCAATCAGACTGGATTTCCATATTTATATAGAAATGCACATCTTATTGGTCAAATGTAGTCTAGTATGTTGAGCGTTAAAAGCACCCAAAGTAAATACGTATGCTATTCCTACATCGTTCACACTGCATTACAGACAATTGTGACAGTAAACAACAAGCAAATATTATAAGGCTTCTAAATTTTATAAAAAAACAAATGTTTTACCTTTAAAAAGGAATAATGTCTTCACCCCCAGTAAGAATGAATTCTACTCAAACAGCAGATCAAAGAAAAGCAGCTCTTTAATGAGGATTTAAGGCTTTTTCTCTTCATTAATTAAGTAAGAAGGAATCCTAAATAATAATTAAAAATCTCAAACCTGTTCAAAGCTGTCAGATGTCTCAGTTTTGTGTTTTTCTGCAGCATACCTGACAGCGCCAGTTTGTGTAGGCTCTCAGGTAGATGGCGCTATTCTTTTCCTCAATAGTTACCAAGTAGTCTCCTGGAGGGAAAAACAGGGAAGAAAGGATGTCACGACCACTCGTTGTGTCTAATTATTGCTGCAGAGGAGAAGAAAGAAGGCCTGAACCTATTTTACTGTGCTGGATTTTCCTCACAGCTCCCATGGTGACAAAGCGACAGATGAGAGGGCAGCCCTCCTCCTCCAGGCTGTAGGCCTCCACCTGGGTGCAGGTGTAAGATGTCAGCAAGATGTCCACAAATGCACTTCTTTCTAAATATTTAGCATCATATTATTTCTAATGAGGAAAAGTGGCTCTGAAAATTAGTGAGTCTGTTTAGTAACCTTGCATCCTCCCGTCGCCACCACAATCAGCGCTCCGCCTCCACAGCAAACCAATCCAGGTTCCTGCTCCACCTGGGCCAAGGAGAGGGGAAGAGCTTCAGACCGCCTCTGGTGATTATTGCCATCATCAGTCAAGTCCATGGATGCTAAACCTACCTGAACAATCTGCTGGTAGGTGAAGGGATGGCAGTTGTACACGTGCACCATGTTTGGTCCTTGCTACGCTGAGATTCTTATTTGGAGGCTTCATCCAAATCAATGCAAACAGTAGCTGCAAAATATGAACATGAAACTAGTTGTAACACTTGTTTTGACCAAGGAAAGGTTTTAAATGTTTCAAATACATCCAGTGGCGGAGCCAGAACGTAGCAAATGGGTGGGCCTAGAAAAATCTGGATGACCCCAATTAATTTCAAAGCTCATATGAGATGTGCACCGCGTGCGTGCACATCAAAATTACATGTTTTAATAAAATCTCTCAAGCCACAAATAACCTTATGATAGAAGATTATTTATTAGATACTCATTCCATGGATCTCAGTTAAATTTCAATTTTAAGGACTGTTACCGACGCTGGACTCCCGCTCTGAGCCAAGACCTGCACACTCTCTCGTGTGAACTTTCAGGACCTCGGACAGGTTCTAATCTCAGCCAGGCGTGCTGCCGTGCTCGTCTCAGCGTCCTAGCTGCAGGCTATCAGCTAAGAGGTGAAGATCCAAAAGACCGCAGCTTGCCAGAGGTCACCGCATGTTTCAAAAATCTGGATTTTTGACTGTTCTTCATGCTCCAGATAGCTCAGGATGCAGCAGGAGGTGGTGCAAAACCAGAGATCAGATCAGATGATTCTCAGCAACCCTAACCCTAACCACCAGGGAATAATCAGCAAGCACGATCCACGCGCGCACACACACACACACACACACACACACACACACACACCCTGGGCCATTTTCATCTGTACCGGGTCGGCCCGGGCCGGGTAGCCCCAGCCTGGCCCGGTTGATTCCACACATCCTTGTCTTAAGCCCATGTGGGCTGATTCTACCCACCAATCAGAGGCTTGCTCTAATGGAAGGTGTGAATTTTCTGTCAGCAGTGGGTGTGTTGGTCCTAGTCGGCCTGAAGCAGACCCCCTCGAGAAGAGGGCTGAGAATGAGCCTTGGTTGGCCTGGAAAAATACCAGACCACCCAGATATGTAAACAACCTACGTTACCCGGCCCGGGCCGAACCGGTACAGATGGGAATGGCCCATAAGCAGCATACACCTCCGACCACACCCTCTCTCCTCACCGGCTCTCAAGGGCTCTGTCTCATTCAGGACCATGGACAGCGATGCGCCGACGCGGTTCGGGATCTTCCACCGTAACCCCCGGTCCAGATAACAACAACAACAATAACATGAACAGAACCAAATAAAATAGCCTTAGAGGACTAAAGCAGACCCGTCGAGATACCCGGATGAAACGATTCGTTTCCTTTAACGTAAGTGCGAGGAAAAGCATCAGATAAAAGGTCCTTGCGTGTCCGATGCGTGCTGCGCGTCTGTCTCCCCCTCCCACCCAGTCCTTTCTCAGTTTACACCGCTGACAATATCAATCATGTCATCCGCAGACTCCGGGAAATGCCCGGTTCAGCTGCGAGAAGTCCAGGACAGGAGGACGTTTCTGAGGGAAAAAAAATCATGAACCTCACTGGGTGTCAGGGATGGCATCAGAATATTTTCTCTGCGGTAGGTTAATAGTTGCTTAGTGCCAGTAAGCAGGTGCCAATTCACTTTTTTTTATATAAAAGACCAAATTACAACTCCAACAAGCAAACTGGAAAACTTATTCATAATATGATTAAAATTAATACCAGATATAGAAGTTAAAGTATTTTTATTACACAGTGAAAAAAGTGCTCATTCATTAAAGTAATAATTTTATTTTGTAATTGTTGTTACAACATAACTGGGGTTGCTAAGCAGTTGCTTGCTTGGCCACACCAAGGTACTGCCTGGCCCTGCCCCTAGTGGGTGCGCACTCTGTAGACCCACCCATAGCTCCGCCCCCGAATACATCATTTTGCTAAAATAACCCTGGAATTTCTGTTTATATATTTATTTTACTCATGTTGTGCAGAGAAGAGGTTCATCCACACACTAAACTACAGAACATTGTAATAAAACAGGCAGCAAGAAGAAAGTCGTGCTTAAATAAACAAGCAAACCGCATAAATAACCTGACATCATGATATTTCATTATTAGACAACCATGTCATGAAGTGCATTAACTAATTCAAAGTCAAGTATCCATATGAAGTCTTATCACTAAAGAAATGTGTCAATTAACTCACATAAAAATGACTTTTGCTGTGAAACTCTAAATAAAAAATATAGTTTAAAGAGTTTATCCAAAGTAAAAACCTAATTTGAATAGAGGAAGTCCGTTTAAAAGTGAAAGTATCCACACAAGAAACCAAACTAACAAGAAGACGTTTATAAAACTGCCATGACTGTGTCTTTGGCCATGAAACCAGGCAATGGGCGTTTCTCTCTAATCGATATCACATGCTGCGGTCTTGTGATCAGCAGCAGCTCCGCAGCTCTCACCTCTAATCTTCTCTGGTTTGACTTTATCGCCTGCTCATCGATACTCCTGCTCCTCGGACTGATGATTAGCGGAAAGTAAATGTTTTTGTGAAGCACCGACGTCTAGAACAAAACTCCCACCTCGTCTTTCTTCCTCATCGAGCGACTCTGCTGCAGTTTATTGATTTCACGCTGCAAAGCAGGAAGTGAACTTCACCCGCAACAACAGAACGCCCCGCCCCTCTCACCTCTGATTGGCTGATTGACCGGCTTGTTCGGTGTTCTTATTGGTTGTTGAGTAGCCACTGAAAGGAAAGATGAAGCGGGCGCCGCACTGCTCCAGCGCTCCAGCATGTCGGTGTCGATAGTGTCGGTCATCGGTGTCGGTCGGTACAGGATCTGCTCGGGGTCCTTCGACTGCCGCTGACGTCACATTACTGCAAATCTACTCGGCGACGGCTTTCACCATATTTATATGTCGATGGCTTTCATTTTGGAAAGACATCAGCAGTTTTGTTAATAAATTCTTGCTTGTTAACACCTAAATGTTTTCTTTATAGTTGTAATTTGTTAATAAAACACCATACTATCTTTGTTTTGTAAAGAATGTGAAAATTCATAAAACCAACATCGGACTGACAAAAATCAGAACAGTTCTTATATGTGAAGCCATATCTGTTTGTATTAATGTGGAGTTTGTCTGTATATTTCCTTAGTTGTTATCTAAACATGGACGTCACTAGGATTGAGAGATAGGGGGGGCTTAGCCCCAGGTGCTTGACCTTGAACATTTTTTGTCACACCCTGCAAAAACTTTGTCAATTAATTCATTATCTGAAGAACATTTAACAAAACCTATTATTTTATCACTTTCTTTTCCTTTCCTACCTTTGTGCATTTTCTCTCTTCTTTTTATAAAAAATAACACTTAATGAGTTCATTAGTGGGGTCTATGTTGAAGAAAGATTTTATATAAGTCCATTAAAAATTAGATATGTTATATTTCCAAATAAAGCTATTCATTTCAGTCTACTGCACTTAACAGGGGGAAATGTTGCTGTCATTTGTTTAATTTGTTTAATTACAACTTGCTTAATTATAAATGTTACTGAAATATGACAAAGAACAAATGAATAATTGTCAAACTTTTATTCTGCCAAATGAGTGTGCAGTTGACAGTTTTAAAATATGAATAACACTGATATGATATGGAATAAAGGAGTATGTAATTAAAAATTACAAGACAAAATAACAGTATATATAAAAATTAGGGCTGGGACTTGATTAAAAATTTTAATCTAATTAATTAGAGGCTTTGTAATTAATTAATCTAAATTAATCGCATTTTAATCGTTCAGGAAAATGTGCTCTCAAAGCAAAACTTAATTAAAATTATGAGACAGAGAATTAAACATTAGACATGGTTATTACTGTAAAACTAAAGCTTTTAATAAAAAAATGCATTTTAATTAATCAAATGACACTGTGTGATATGAAACAAAATACAAATCAACTAAAATTTATAATTACAAATAGAAAACGCCTGCAAAGGGTTCCTGATCCTTTAAATAGTCTCTCTGTCTAGTTGAATTACTGAAATAAATTTGACTTTGCACCAGATTCTAATTTTTCCAGATTCTCATTTTTCCAGTTTCACTTGTTTGTATAATTGGGAGTTTTGGCAAAGTTCAAACTAAAACGTGCTGTGTGTGTGTGTGTGTGTGTGTGTGTGTGTGTGTGTGTGTGTGTGTGTGTGTGTGTGTGTGTGTGTGTGTGTGTGTGTGTGTGTGTGTGTGTGTGTGTGTGTGTGTGTGTGTGTGTGTGTGTGTGTGTGTGTGTGTGTGTGTTGCAAGCTGGTGTGAAAGGCGTTCTGTCCATCTCTAAAACTACAACATCTAGACCAGGGCTTCTCAACCTTTTTCAGCTATGTCCCATGCAGAGAAACGGAAAGTTTTTTGATGAAAAAAATCATAATTATTTAATTTAATACAAATATGTCATAAAAAATGTTTTTAGCTATTAGCAACGAGATATTGTAGGAAGCTAATCCTCGGTCCAGTAAATTCGAGCTTCGAGCAACCATACTGCTAATGCTACCTCTCTTAGAGTGTCTCTCTTTAATTACCTGAAAATAGTTCAGTTCTTTTGAAGCTTTGTCTGGATGCATTTTGGACAAGTGCTCCTGAAGCCAGGAGGGTTTCATTGTGTCTGGATTCTAGACACTTAAAAACCTGGACTAGATCATGGCCATGTCCGTGATGAGCCAGGTCTGCGCAGCAGGGGCGCCTCCAGAAAATTTTGATATTTCAGCAATTTGGCCACCCCTCGGGGGCACCCTTGCAGCGCAGATTAGATCACCGGTGATCGGCCTGCACTGCAGTGCTTGCAGGTGGAATCGAATACCCTTGATATGACGTCTGTGATGTTCACAGATTTCTTTTTGACATTTGTCTTCAAATAGAAATTGCTTGAAGCCAGAATGATGTTTAAAACCCAAATCTTTTTAATTGTTTAGAGCCAACGTTAAGACTAATTGATTTAATCAACAATATTTACACAGACATTAGAAAAGAATAATGATGAACTTTTTAGAATGTCGTTTGTGTAAAACTACTAAGTCACCACAGGGGGGCGACTGTTGCCCCGAAGAACCTTTATTTTCAATGAACATTTCAACTAAATTCTTTTAAACACAGTTTAAGATTTTATCATGATTTAAGTCAAATTGAAATGTAAAAATTCTCTAAAGATAATATAATATCTTGGGAAATTATAGGTGATTTGGATGCTTAAAGATGATTTATAGTTAAATAAAAATGTTATGTACTATGGGCCAGATTGATCTTTTTTGAATCAAACATCATATTTATGATGCAAACAGTGATAGCCTAATTAATGCTTTTATTTCCTTAAAACATATAATTGTTTTCTAGAGAACATTTAAGGTTTACTTGGCTTCCTGCAAATTTCAATGGTATTGTAAAGTTGTATTGACACTAAATAAATTGTGAAAGGGTGATTTTAAGAAGCTTAAGATCATTCTCACTCAATCACTGTTTAGCATTTTATTGAATAAATCATTCTTTTGTGTTTTGGATTTTTAGATTATGACATCACATTTGTTTCTTCCATCAAATAACATAACCATTGGAAAATACATATTTGGGTTATTGTAGAAGAAGAAGAAGAAGAAGAAGAAATTATCTTTTCTATAGCGCCTCTCAAGATAAAAATCACGAGGCACTTCACAAAAACAAAAAATGTAAAAATGTAAAAAAAAAATTTTAGAAAATGTTTAAAAATATATTTAAAATGAGCAAAAATAGACAATTGTTATTAAAAAATGTAAGGAAAGAGAGAGAGTGAACAGGAAAGAGGGAAATCAGTGGATCCTGAGAAAGATGGAATAGGTGGGGAGAGCAGAATAAAGAGAGAGCGGTGAAGAAGGTCATACAAAAGCCAGCTTGAACAGGTGAGTCTTCAGCTGCTTTTTGAAGGAGACCACTGAGTCCACTGATCTCAGGCTCAGGGGGAGAGAGGTCCAGAGTCTGGGGGCCACAGCAGCAAATGATCCGTCACCTTTGGTCTTTAGCCTGGTGCTGCACAACCAGTAGACTTTGATCATTGGACCTCAGGGACCTGCTGGGGATGTAGGGACTAAGAAGATCACCAATGTAAGATGGTGCTTGTCCATGTAAGACCCTATAGACCAGAACCAGGATCTTGAAATGAACCCTGAAGGTGACTGGCAGCATGGACGTAATTTTGGGGGGGGACAGGGGGGACATGTCCCCCCCACTTTTTCCAAAATCAAGTTTTGACCCCTGCACTTTTTACCATCCAAAAACAATATTACGCTATATTAAATGGACACTGGTTGAGCTCTAAGACAAAGCGGAAAACAGACGTTTGTGTTGAAAACTGTTTCCCATTAGAGCATACTGTAAAGTCCCCCCCCCCCCCCCCCCCGTGTCCCCCCCACTTCTAAAGTGAAAATTACGTCCATGACTGGCAGCCAGTGAAGCTGGAGGAGAAGAGGGGTGATGTGATTGGGTGATAGGGGTGATTGTAATGTTACTACTTTACCACCAGAGGGCGATAGATAACAAGCAGACCAAATACAAAAAATGAAGTAAATGTTCACACAATATTTTAGAAATTTGACTTCAAATTGCACTTAATAAAAGCCAGATTAAAATAAAGCCAAGCATGGTTTATTATTTAGAGCCAAAGTAAAAAAAAAATTGCATGAAATTTTAACACAAACATTAAAAATTAATTATTAATTTTAGAAAAGATATTTTGTGTAAGACAACAAAAAGTGATATTTTTTAATTGAAAATTCAACAAAACATCATGATAATATGAGCAAAAACAACATGTGCGTTTAGATTTTAAAGGTCAGTCGGATTAAATCACAACAAATATGGAAAAATGCTTCGTTGTACAGACAAAACTAAACTGAGATCTTAGACAATAAAGCACAGAGCTGAAAAATAAATTTCAACAAAAACTAAATCAAGTCTGTTTGGCTGAACGCATTTCTCTATTAAAATAGACTCCTGAAGAAACATATTCATGTAGAAAAATACGTGTTTAGCCTATCAGATAGCACGTGCTGTGCCAGATTTATGTCTTCAAAGTCAAACATCGTTAATGACTTTTTACTGAGTGAAAAAAAAATCAACCAAACATTAAAAGAATCTCATTTTGAAAAGTTGTTGTAATACCACCAAATAGCCACACGGTGAAGACATATTTCTTTGATTATTATTCAGTGCTATTTTTGGTTTCTGTTTTTACCATCGACATGGTTTTTACCCAACACGCTGTAACTTTGCACAATTACTTTTTTATAGCATTCATTAATTCAATTCAAGTTTATTTATATAGCGCCAAATCATGACAAGAGTCATTTCAAGGCACTTCACATAATAAACATTCCAATACATTATTATTAAGCCAATCAGAAAAAAGTTTCCTATATAAGAAACCCAGCAAATTGCATCAAGTCACTGACTAGTGTCAGAGACTTTACAGCAACTAAGCAAGCATGCAGCGACAGTGGAGAGAAAAAATCCCTTTTAACAGGAAGAAACCTCCAGAGGATCCTGGCTCAGTATAAGCAGCCATCCACCACGACTCACTGGGGATCGAGAAGACAGAGCACACACACACACACACACACACACACACACACACACACACACACACACACAC